GCCTCCATCTTGACCGGAAGTACCTCCTTTGAGAGTACTTATTAGACGTTTTTTAAAAGATTTTACTTAGTTTTAGACAGAGGGAAAGGGAGGGAGAGAAACATCAATGTGTGGTTGAGTCGCATGCACCCCCTACTCAGGACCTGGCCTGCAACCCAGGCATGTGCCCTGACTGGGAATTGACCCAGCGACCCTTTGGTTCTCAGGCCAGTACACATTCCCTGAGCCACAACAATGAGGGCCTTATTAGGTCATTATATTCTATGCTCTTTTAACCTCTTGTGTTCCTTGTTTCTGCTTTTCTTGGCAGTGTTTTGGGTATTTTCTTAATGTTTACCTTCTATTTCCCTATTTTTTTCCAGTTATGTCTAATCGCTGAAATGTCCTGTTTAGCCCATCTATTGACGTGTTTTGGTATTTTAAAATGTAATGGTTATATTTTTTATTTACAGAAGTTTGGTTCTTTTTAAATATGCCGGATTGCCTTTTATTCCTTTGCTAATTTTTCAGTAATGTTTTTATTACTTCTTAATGAGTTTTTCAATGGTTATTTTATATTCTGTCTCTGGCAGTTTCAGTGCCTAACTTCACGATTCCTGATCTCTTTTTGCTGACACGTGCTTGTGGTAGATTGCATATCATGTGGTTGATATTGAATGTGTACTAAATCTGTGGGGATGGTAAAAGGCCTGAGTTACAGGTGATTATTTTCTGAGGTGATTTAGGATTGCTTCTGCTGGGTGTCAGGGGGCACTAGTATCCTGGAACTAGTTTGATTTCTTGACTGTAGGGGATGGTAAATTATGACCTCAGACATAATCAGGAGGGCAAGCTATAATTATTACATAATCTCAGAGAATCCACTCTACCCAGAGCATAGGCCAAAAAGACTCCCTTTAGGTCCCCTTTGCATGCAGATTTTTTTCCCTACTCACCTTCATTGAAGTTCCAGCCCCCTTGGGGGTTTTGATTTGATGCTGGAGTTTCCTATTAAGCTCCCCGACAGCAAGTAAATGGTAAGTTTTATGTGGGATAAATTGATTACAGTTTATATAGTTAACTAGTATTCTATTCTAAGAAAAAATAGTGAGTGAGCAACATTCCCCAGCTGGAATACAGCTTCTCAACTAGTGTGTCCTGGATTTTGTGTATGTCAGGATATTCATTCCTGCAGTATTTGGGATAATCAGAGACCTCAGCCTGGGTGCACGCAGAGGCATGTTCTCCTTCTGTTGCGTAGATAATCATTTTCTGTGTGTGTGCTGGGACCTTGAAAAGGTCAGAGAGCACTTCTCTAGAACATTAGTCCTTGAAGATTCTTTGGGAAGGACTGCACACTATATATCTCTCTTTATCATAATGTTCATAAGCATACTAAAGGCTTAAAGAAGGCTTGAACTAAGAAAATTTCCCAAATGCATTTAACCATAGTACTTTTTTAAATGTTTATAACCTGTAATTATTGAGACAAAATCGTAATCATTGACTCCCTGAAATTTCAGGCTTATATTCTCTGAGAAATAGAGTCAAAGTAGATGTGCTGGCATTTAATGGTCAATAAATATGTATTAGCTGCCAGTCAAGCTCTCTGTAAAGCAGACAAGCCTGTATGAAAACAACAGATACTACAAATCATCTCTGCATGCTGGTAGACTGTACAAATTTATTAGAAATCAGAATTCTAGCCAGTGTTTATTAAGTGTGAGTTCCAGTCACCTTGATAAATATTTCGTAATGGCTTTCAAGGGCTCTTTTCATGTGGCCGCTCTATCCTCCTCCCACCTCATCTCCCACACCTCTTCACACTGGGCCCCAACGACACTGGGCGTTCCCTGTGCCAAATACGTTCCACTCTGAAAAGCCTTTTGTCTTGTTCTTTCCTTTGCCTAGAACATTGCAGCAGCAGATACTTAAATGACTGCCCTTTTTGTCCTAATGGTCTTTTCTCACCACTACATCTCAGTTGTCTACCCCTGCCTTAGTTACTCTGTCATCAAATGGCCTTGCTTACATTTCTCCCGCCAGTAGGCTTTCGCCTTTGTGAGAACCACGGATCTTGTCTGCTGTCTTTAGCCTGTCACTATGAGACACACAGATTACTTGATGGTTGTTGAATGTTGCATGAATAAGGAGTAATCTCGTAACTTGCCCAAGTTCACAGCTAGTGAATGGAAAAAAATAAGTATCAACTCTAGGTCTTTCAGAATTCTGTGTTCTTAGCATCACTTTTTACCTAAACAATGACTGTCCCATTCCCTGCCATCTTGTTAGGCTTTTCTTATGGAATTGCCTTCTTTATTCTTTTTGAAATCTCTTAGTGGTAGTAGATATTGATTCTCTGAAGATAGATTTAATTTATAGAAATACTTGAAAAGTTACTCAGAACCAAATCTGCTAAATAAGATGGGTAATCAAGCTAGGGAAAACTGTTGGAGATGAAATAATTATCTAAAGTGACCACAAAAAAATGGGATTTTTTTATTGTTTGCTTTTGTTTTAATGGGGACTAAATGAGACTTCTAGAAGAAGAAGAATAAAAAAAAAAAGTGTAGAGACTCCCAAGGAACTTTGTAAAAGACAGTGTTGGCTTGGATATAAAATATTTCCATTGTGCAGATTGAGAAACTGGTTTTGTCGCTTTCATAGTTACACCTGATATGAGTGAAAATCAGTTTCCCATTCAGTGCAGATGTTTAATGCTAAATACTTGAAGATGACAGTTTATTCAATAAAAGTGGATGGCTTTATATTGTCAGGGTTTGGACAACAGATTTCAGCTTTGTTGCTGGTCTTGTTAACTTAAGCTAGCCAGAAAAGAAATTGTGCAAGAAATATAAAGTGATATAAAAAATATTAAAGCAAAAGAATAGTTTGAGAGGTTGTGGAGAAAAGGGAACCCTAGTGCACTATTGGTGGGATTGCAGACTGGTGCAACTACTATGGATAACAATGTGGAATTTCCTCAGACAACTAAAAATGGATCTGCCTTTTGACCGAGCAATTCCAATGCTGGAATTATATCTTAATAACCCTGAAACACCAATCCAAAAGACCTATGCACCCCAATGTTCAGAGCAGCACAATTTACAATAGCCAAGTGCTGGAAGCAACCTAGGTGCCCATCAGTAAATGAGTGGATCAGAAAACCATGGTACATTTACACAATGGAATCCTATGCAGCAGAAAGAAAGAAGGAGCTCCTACCCTTTGCGACAGCATGGATGGAACTGGAAAGCATTATGCTAAGCGAAATAAGCCACGTGGTGAAAGACAAATACCATATGATCTCACCTTTAACAGGAACTTAATCAACAAAACAAACAAACAAACAAGCAAAGTATAACCGAAGACACTGAAATTGAGAACAGGCTGACAGTGACCAGAGGGGAGAAAGGAAGGGAATTTCAGGGGAAAAGGGGAAGGGTTTGCAGGAACAAGTTTATAAAGGACACATGGACAGTAACAAGGGGTGGGGGGTGAAAATGGGAGGGAGGTGGGGAGTGCTGGGGTGGGTGGGCTGGGATGGCGGGGAGGCAGAAAACTATTTGAACAACAATTAAAATTTTTTTAAGTGTAAAAACAAAAGAATAAAAATAGGTGCCAACTCTAAAGATCCTTCAGTTGATAATACTTGCTTGACTTATAACTCACTACATGTTTAAAGATAGTTTGATGTTATTTTTTTATTTCAAATATTTTTTCGGTTATATTTTGATTTTCTTCTTGCTAAACTTAAAGGTTTAGAATTTATTTCATGAAAGGTTTCAATAGTGGTGTATTCATTTTGGGGGCTATTTTTGTGGCCCCAGTGAAGGATTTTTTGGAGGAACATATGAGTAGCATTCACTGCAGAAATAAGTGTCTTCATGCTTTCCTTTGAAAAGGAAATATATTTTGCTTGAGATAATTGGGTTTTTATAAACCGTTGTTTTAAAAAATGAAATAGGATTTTATAAAATAGGATTTTATGTGTAGAAATGTTATCTTGTCTAATTTTGAAATGGCTACTATCTAAAAATTGTCCCTAATACTTAAAAGTCTCAATTAATCCTTTCAGAACTCTTAGAAATACTTTTTTTTAAAGCATTTATATATTTCCTGGGTGTTCTAAAGTATTATAGTCTAGACCAGCGACTTTGAACACTTCTCATCACATGGCACACATAAATTAATTACTAAAATTTTGCAGCACACCAAAAAGTACATTATAGTTTTTGCTGATCTGACAAAATAGATATAATTTTTGTTGATTTACTCTCCCCCACCCAAAAAAGGTAACTACCTACCCTTTTTGCTCCAAAATTACTTTTAAAAATGAAGTGCGTGCACTCGTCGTGTATAAGGATTTCTGGTACCAAGAGTTAACCAGTCAGACACAACCTTATTATATACCGTGACCAATAAGATGCAACTCTGTCATATTACCTATACATTTTCAGTTCAAGTTAGGGCATTCATGCTGGACAGCCATTGTTGTGGTGGCTGTTGTCATTTTTTTGTTGTTGTTGAACAGTTGAAGGGAAAAGAAGTCAGTGCCCCAATGAAACAGGTATTGCATGTTTTAAAAATTCCGTGGCATACTAGTTGAAAATTGCTGGTTAGATATTTGCAGTTTTAGAGATGAAAGGCAGATTAAGAAATCATCTGTTATGTGTATTTCAGTACAGTTTTTTAATCATCTGATCTAATCTCTTATAGAGAAGTGCCACGCCTGGTTTAGGGCAAAACTTGAATTACAGGATGATCTGCTTCAGTCAATATTCTTACCATCAGTATTGTTATTCTTACTAGCTAACATCATAGCTAATGAATTTAAGCCTCAGAAGTGGAGGACTCCATTTTGACACAAACATTTAGCTTTCCATTATAAAATAAAATTATCACTTCGCAGGGCTAGATTTTCATTTTTCAAATCTCACTTACCAAAATTTGAACTAAGGTCTTTTAGGGGGTATATATTAGGTCTGTGTCATGTATTATTAATTTCTTCTGTTTTTAAGATTGAACATTCTTCACAATCCGAGAGGAAAAGAAGAGACTGGTTCGGGATGTTTGACGGTTATGATAGCTGCAGTGAGGACACAAGTAGCAGCTCCAGCTCTGAGGAGAGTGAAGAAGAAGTTGCTCCTTTACCTTCTAATCTCCCAATTATTAAAAACAATGGACAAGTCTACACATATCCGGATGGGAAATCTGGCATGGGTGAGTATCCAGAGCTCAGCCTTCAGGTGGACAGCCTTCACCTGTTTACAGCTTTGTTTAAGGATATGTTTTTATTGCATGTCTTCTGTCATTCCCCTTCCTTAGAGTTTTTATAACAGAGGACATCTTTATAATGCAATTTGAAAAAACTTACAGTTCCAGAGTAGATCACTGGGTTTGTGTTTGATCTCTATTTTGTCTACCTACCATTTTCTGTTGGAAAGCAAGTAGAACAAAATGAAAACAGAAGGCTATTGAGAAATTTAATGTAGACTTAAATTTTGTAATTACATAATAAAACCCTGTGTAATTGGCCTTGACTGGTATCATCCAGTGGGTTGGGCAAACCTGCAAACCAAAAGGTTGCCTGTTCGATTCCCAGTGAGGGCACATGCCTAGATTGAGGTCCAGGTTCCCGGTTGGTGGAGTGCGAGAGGCAACCAATTGATGTTTTCACAGACATCGCTGTTTCTGTCCCTCCTCCCTCTCTCTCTCTCTCTTCCTTCTCTCTAAAAATTTTTTTAAAGAGATTTTTATTTATGTTTAGAGAGGGAAAAGGAGGGAGAAAGAGAGGGAAACATCGATGTCTGGTTTGATTTTTCAAACCAAAACCCTTTGATTTTTACCATATGAACTAATAAACCAATTAAACCAGCCTTGTGCTTTTGCTGTTGATTATTTTCTTTTTAAAACAAGGCATAAGGCTTTGAAGCTCTTCAGATAACCTTTTACTTACTCAATTCGACTGTCTTAAAAATATTTTATTCCTATTTCTGTCATATACTGGTAAGTGCTGTGTTGTATAATCTTTCAGGGTTTTTTTAAAGATTTTATTTATTTACTTCTTAGAAGGAAAGAGAGGGAGAGAAATATCAAGGTGTGGTTGCCTCTTGCACAGCCCCAACTGGAGAACCTGGCCTGCAACCCAGGCATGTGCCTTGACTGGGAATCAAACGTGAACTTTTGGCTCCCAGGCCAGTCAGTGCTCAGTCCGCTGAGCCACACCAGCCAGGTCTAATCTTTCTGTTTCATGTCACTTACAGATTTGATAATAATGCCTGATAAGTCCTGTTCTCATCTTTTGATTTAAAAGTTGAGCAGCACACAGCCTCATACAGAGTCCTGCAGCCCATATCAAAAAATGTCACTTCCTTTATCAGAACCCATTAGGTGTGGTCATCCAACCAGTTAACATCTACCAAGGTGTCTCCCGCTTCAGTTTAAATCTCTCAGTCCTTAATGACAAAGCTACATGACAGATTTTATCAAATGTGCCATGGTTTGGTTACGACATACTAGTCTGTTAATCTCATCACAAAAGGACATGAGGTTTATCAAAGCTTTGTGTGTGCCAGACTCTTGTTTTAAGGACTGTGGAGATTACTTCCTAGTCATGGGAATTCTGGTTTGACATCTTTAATTCTTGGCAAAGATATACAGTCCCCTTGGGATCACAGTTTTTTTACCTACATCACTAGCCTTTATAATAATCAGTTCTACACTTTTTACAACAGAAAACCATTTTTTCTCCTCTTAGACATCATTTATTCATCTCTCATCTTCTAGAACCTTACCTTTTCCCATAATTTTCATAGACTTATAAACACCGGTTAGACTATGAGGGCCTCAAGTTTTAACTGTTTGGGTAGAGATTTGATCCTACTTGGGCACTTAAATTTTTTTCCAATTTTATTTCTGTTCATCTTTTTTTCCTCCAATTTTATTGAGGAATGATTGACGGGTGTAATTGTATATATTTAAAGTGTACAGTGTGATAATTTGATATATGTATATTGTGGAATGATTACCAAGATCAAGCTTATTATAACTCATCCATTACCTCATGTAGTCGACTTCGTGTGCGTGTGTGGTGTGAACACTTAAAATCTACTCTTACCAACTTTCAAGTATATAATAGTGTATGATTAACAATAGTCACCCCTATTGTTAGATCCCCGCAGCTTATCCTTTTTATAACGGAAAATTTGAAACCCTCTGGCCTGCATCTCCCTCTTTCCCCCTCTCCCCAACCTCTGGCAACCACCATTCCATGAAGTAGGGTTTTTTTATTTTTATTTTTAAGATTCCCCATATAAATGATAGCACACAGTATTTGTCTTTCTCTGTCTGGCTTCCTTCCTTTAGCATAAGGCCCTGTACCTTCATATCCACGTTGTCAGAATGACAGGATTTTCTTCTTTTTTTTTTAAATGGCTGCATATTTTATTAAATGAACAATATTTCATTTGCTATAGATGATATATATGTATATCACATTTTCTTCATTTGTCAAAGGGCATTGAGTTTTTCCATGTCTTGGTTATTATGAATAGCATGGCAATGAACATTGGAGGGCAGATACCTCTTTGCAATACTAATTTATAGCCAACTATTGAGAAGGGCACAAAGAACACACAATGGGGAAAGGGTAGTCTCTTTAAAAATAGTGCTGGGGAAATTGGATATCCACATGCAAAAGAATGAAACTGGGCCCCACTCTTATACCGCTCAAAAAAATTAACTTGATATTGGGGTGTCCAGCCTTTTGTCATCTCTGGGCTACAGTGGAAGACGAGTTGTCTTGGGCCACACATTGAATACATGAACACTAATGGAAACTGATGAGAAGGAAAAAAAGGTTTCAAGTAAATTTACAGTTTTGTGTTGGGCCACATTCATAGCCATGCTAGACCACATGCAGCCCTCGGACCACGGGTTGGACACCCCTGAAAGACTTAAAATGTAAGACCTAAAACCATGAAACTCCTAGAGGAACCAGGGGAAAAGCTCTTGATGTAGCTCTCGGCAATGATTTTTTGGATGAGACACTAAAAGCACAAACAAAAGCTAAAAGAGATAGTGGGACTACATCAAACTAAAGAGATTCTTACACCAAAGAAACCAGTAAATTAAAAAGGCAACACAGAATGGGAGAACATGAGATAACTGTATATCTGATAAAGAGTTGATATCCAAAATATATAAAAATTCATGCAACTCAGTAGCAGAAAAGCAAAAATTCCGATTAAAAAATGGCAAAGGACCTGAACAGACATCTTTCCAAAGAAGATATAAAATGGCAGCTGGGTACAAAAGAAGGTGCTGAACGTCACTAATCATCAGGGAAGTACAGCTCAAAGCCACGATGAGATAACACCCCACACCCATCAGGGGGCCTGTTACTAAAAAGACTACAAGAGATAACAGATATTGACATGGATCTAGATGGGGGGGGGGGGGCTCCAGCCTGTGGGCTCCATGCAGCCCAGATGACTGCAAATGTGGCCCAACTGCAAATCCTAAATTTACTTAAAAGGTTATGAGATTTTTTTTGTTTTCATCAGTGTTTGTGTATTTACTGTGTGGCCCAGAGTTGCCAAAAGGTTGGGCACACAGAAGAGAAAACCCTGGTGCACTGTTGGTGGGAATGTAAATTGGTACGGCCACTATGAAAAACAGGATAGCTATTCCTCAAAAAATGAAAAATACAAGGACCATATAATTCAGCAGTTCTACTCCTGGGCATATATCTGTTTATCTCTTTAGAGCTTCAGTTCTTGTGACCCTAGTTCTTCCTTTCTGCAGTTGAGATCATTGTCCGTTACTAATGTACAAAAGAGGCTTGATAGGCTTCCATCACTGCAGTATTTTAAAGGCTTATGCAACAGTTTGTGTTGGTCCTCAGTTGTGTCCTACTTTTCAACTCTTGTTTCTAATCCTTTCAAACAGCTCATAATGTATGTGAAAATTCCTAGCACCTGGTAAGCACTAAGGAAATGTTAGTGCAATCCGACTTAAATATTTGTCTTTTGACCCTTTTTTAAGCCTGACTTATCTTCTGGAACTCCTAGCCAAGGAAGGCATCATAACCAGTCTTTTCTCTCACTTTCATCTAGGGTTTTCTACTATTTGTATGACAGATAGAAATTTTCTGTTAGAAGGAAAAAAAATTTTAAGATTTTATTTGTTTTTAGAGAGAGGAAGAGAAACGTCAATGAGTGGTTGCCTCTCATGCACCCCTACTGGAGACCTGGCCCGAAACCCAGGCCTGTGTCCTGGTTGGGAATTGAACCAGTGACCCTTTGGTTCACAGGCCAGCACTCAATCCACTGAGCCACACCAGCCAGAACAAAAATATCTAAATTAAAACTTTGAAATAGTTGGAGAAGTTATTAAACTGTTAGATTAAAATTGATTTTATTATATGATCATGACACCAATATTTTGTTGTTGTTGTTAATTAGCTACCTGCGAAATGTGTGGGATGGTTGGTGTGCGAGATGCTTTTTACTCTAAAACAAAGCGTTTCTGCAGCGTTTCATGTTCAAGAAGTTATTCGTCAAATTCCAAGAAGGCAAGCATTTTGGCCAGACTTCAGGTAACGGTACAGAAACCTTATTCTTTATATCTATTATTTCTGTGGCTTTCATCGTTTACCTGTCATTTGATTGTTATTCACTGCACTCCCCCTCTGTCCCATTGGTCAATTATCATTTTATACCCCACATTTTTAGGATGTAGGTGAGCTCCAGTGTGTGTTCAATCTATAAAATTGACAGCTATTATAAGTAGACAAGGCACAGTATCCAGAATAAACTGAGTTGTGTAAGTGGATTAAAAATACCCTTTTCCTAAATAATCATAAATACAGTCCCCTTTTCAATAATTGAAGCCATTTGCCCCCCCTTGTTTTCTTTTAAGTTATGTCAAGGTAGATCTTTCAGCATTTGTAAGGATATGATTTACCCTTTGGTTTATTTTCCCATCATCTTTGCTTTGTACTTTTGATAACAACCCATTTGATACCTTGACCAAATGTATTTGGTTAATCCAACTAACCTTTTTGAAAATGTTCATAATATAGGAGGAAACTCATCTTCCTCTAAATGTACATCAGGGCGTACAAAATGACTGGAGAATTGATGATGTATCTAAGTTGTTTCTGTTGTAGCATGTAAACAACTTTTTAAAGGCATTACATACCTGATTCTTGTAATTAGTTTACTTTGATGATCACATTTTTTCTTATTCTCCTTTAACTTATTGTGATCATTACATAGCACTGAAAAGGTTAAGTCCTCCAAATTAAGGAAATACATCACTTAGATGTATTTCTATATTTCAGAAAGACAGTGCCTAAAGATCCTGAGCATTGGTCTGTGCCCAAATGGATGGCAGTTTGTCACACTGAATTTGGCCCATGATCATTTTGTCATTGATCTTTTGCGTTAGCACTAAAGGTATAAACCTCAGTCACTTGCTCTTTAAACGTTCGATTATCTTTTCTTACCACATAAAATAGCAATGCTTGGCAACCTGCATGAGTGAATAACCACTGGTTTTATCTAGTAAAAGAAAGAATCAAGTATTCATCACAGCCTATATTTTAACATCTTATGGGATGTAATTTTTTATTAACATATTAATTGCATATTGCTATTTTTGTCTATGCCAGCCCTGCTATCCATATTAGATATCTACATTGTGGCAGAACTCCAGAAAACACTTCTCTTGTTAAAATTCCTTGTATGTTCCCTCTGCTTTAATAATTTTCTAAACCCTCGGTGTTTATTTAAGCAGAATAAGTAGTAGTGTGCAATCAAGTTACTTTTTGGTGTTGGTGGGGGTGCTGAAAAGAATCCTATTTACTTAACTCTTCTTGTTTTAGGGTAAGCCTCCAACAAAGAAAGCTAAAGTTCTTCAGAAACAACCTTTAGTTGCTAAACTAGCCGCATATGCTCAGTATCAAGCTACCTTGCAAAATCAAGCAAAGACTAAAGCAGGTAATGACTTGAATGTTAATAGATGTGAAATATTTGATATTGATTCATCTGGTTTTAATCACTGACATTTTGATGTTGAATTCTGGTTAGCTAAGCTAGTTCTGTTCCCTGTTAGCACATGACACTGGGCTCCCTGACATTTCGGTTTCGGTCAGTTAGTCTAGAAGAGGATGTTTGCGTTCACCAGGTTCAGTGTTTGTGACAGTCTCCTTAATATTAGTGCTTTTTTATCTGGTTTAGTATTTATTTTTTAAGTACTGATTCTCTCTGTGCTTTGGAGAGTAGGGAGCATTGTGGGGAATAATTGGCAAAGAAATAAGACATTTAGCAGGCTTCCAAGGGAGTGGCGAGAAGAGTGTTGTAAGAGGAAAGGACTCTTTCTATTAGGAGATTCTTAACAGAAGCACAAAGACAGGGAGGTAAGTAGGGAGTAAGGTAATGAAAACCCCTAGTATTAGGTGGTAGATATGAGATAGACTTCTCCCTAAGGTTCACCGCAAGAGCTGCATGGGAATAAAAACAAAAGCAGCATATCCACATTCGTTATCATGAACACGTCTGTTCTTAGCTTCTCATAACTGGAGAGCTCTTCGCTTTTGAGGAACTGTGTTGTATGTAAAAGACTTAAACTGCTGGCTGTTTGCAGATACGATTTATGCCAAAGTTCACATTCATTTGGAGAAGTTCTTTAACCTTTTTTTTTTTTTTAAGATTTTATCTATTTATTTTTAGAGAGGGAAGGGAGGGAGATAGAAACATCAATGTGCGGTTGCTGGGGGTCATGGCCTGCAACCAAGGCATGTACCCTGACTGGGAATTGAACCTGCGACACTTGGGTTCGCAGCCCATGCTCAATCCACTGAGCTACGTCAGCTGGGCTTGTTCTTTAACCTTTTACAGGGAAAAAAAACTTCAAACATGATAAATTAATTTTACACCATTTTACATTTTAAGAATTGAGAATTGTAATATATCTAAATTTATTTTATTTCAACAGTAGTCTCCATGGAAGGTTTCAGCTGGGGCAACTACATCAATAGCAATAGCTTTATAGCAGCTCCAGTTACCTGCTTTAAACATGTGAGTATGGAATTTCTCACCTCATACTGAAATGCTTATTCATGGCTTAAATCTGAAGGTGCAATAACACCTAAGCATGTTCTCCTTACATCTTTATTTTATACCTTGTAATGGAAATATTTTTTCTGTTATACTTATCAATAGCTGAAAATAAATTCTATACATTTTTAAGTAAAAGCTTTCTATAAAGACATTGCAGTCCAAAATTATTTTAAGCAAGGACAATACTATTCAAATTTTCACGAGAAGTTGCTGGTTTTGTAATCAAAAATAGTTGTACATTGGCAATGTCATATAGTTCAACCTAATAGAAACCATGTATCATGTATGGAACCTAAATCTTTGTGATTTGACCTGATGATTCGGGAAGGAAAGGATCTTTGTTCCAGGTTTATTTTGTTAGTAATATAGTATTGTGGGCTGATATGTGTGATAAATATGCAAAAACCCTTTGTAAGGTTTTCTTTTTTTTAGCAATTAGATTGTTACAGAGCCTTGGAAAGAATTCAGAATCATGTTTAAAATATATTTGATGTGTTCTTTCCTTTCTATTCTATTCCTTTTTGATTTATCTCTGATAAATTATATGCAATGCTTTTTTTAACCTCACTACAATTTATATTTAAATGTTTTATCTGCTACTGACAAGAAGAGAATTTAGAAAATTAATGAGGTTTTGTGTATACTTAATGTTAAGTTAGTGCTCTACTTTTAAATAACAGCATGTAAACACAACTGAATGGAAATCCAAATGAATTTTCATTCATTTATGGCCAGTATAGGATCTTGATCAAATCCAAGCATATAAATTTAGTGGTAGAAATATAAATTAAAATTTGTTCATTCATCTGCTAGTTTTCTTCTTTGAAAGTACAAGTGTTGAGCCCTTAGCCCTTGTGGCATGCGGACTGTCTCAGCCAACTTACACGAAATCTTACATTCTTCATCTCAGTGTGAAGTAGGTGACTTATTTTACTATAATGTTGATAAACGGTGTCACATTTGTGAAATATATTGAATATATGGCAACAGCAGTTTTAAAAAGAACTACTAAGCAAATCTTTAACTTTCCTCTCTTAGGATAGTTTTTTCTGGTACTAAGAAACTCAAAATTAGATTAAATTCTCAGATATAATAAGTCTTTCATCCTAGATACCTGGAACATCTGTCTGCTGTCTCCTGAATAGCTTTTATATCTTTACTGCCTTTATTTTAATATTGTTTTTTTATGCTTTAATGTAATAAACCGTGCAAGCTATTTTATTTAAGTAGTCAGAATACCTTTTATAATAGCATTTCAAAGTCCCAGTAGCATGTTTTATTTCATGTCCATATCTTTGAATAGTAAACTATATTAAAATTCTTTGCAAGAAAATGTCATAATAATGAAATTGACTTTGCTTTTGACTTTGTTCTTTTAAGATTATTGACGTACTCTATCATATAGAATGTAGCATTTAGCCTTAGTGTCATATTCCTAACAATGAATAATGTGGAGCCTCCTCTTTTGCATTTAGAAGTGAGGCATCTGTCGCCCAGTGCCTTTCTGTTCCACTCATCTTTCTTTACTGCCTTGTCCTTATCAAATAGAAAAAATTTTACGTTAGTAATTTCTTAGTATATTTTAGTACAAATGCATTTGCTTTGTTGCCTTGACCAGCATCTTTCATGTGAAGCCATTTGGTTTAGGACATCACACCTCATGCTGCACTTGATTTTTCTTTTTTTAGAATTGACTCCTCGTGGTTCTCCCCAAGATAGTTTTCTAGGTCTATCCAGAGAGAGTGAGTAGCTTTTGCTGTAGAAAACCCATTGTCAGAAGCAGCTGGGAACACAAGATCCTGCCTTATGTTATCTATCTTCTAGTCTTTTAAGATTTGACGTGTGCCCTAACACTGGTTCATCAGTAGGGCCCACTTCCTCCAGACTCTGCATGTGCCTCGTCTTCAGCTTGAACAGAGGCTAGTAGCCTTTCCCCAATCCTACCGATTCTTCATTCAAACATAATTTTTTTTTTTTTTTTAAACACCCAGTGTGTAACCTGGAAGGCAAGTTGTTCTGATTGGAAAAGCAATTTATGGTGAGGGCAGTGTCAGAGCCTTAAGGGTAGAATTCCTCTTTCTATGGTCTATCTTCTGACAATAAAATTTCTGCCAAGCATATTATAGGGCTATATTCTCTTCAGTAATTGCTGCAATTATGCATAGTGGTTTATAATCACAACAATGTTTGATTTTTTTATAATTTACTAATGGAAATCAAGCCCAGTTGTCATTAAATATATGCATTTAGAAATCTGTATGTTATGATTGCCAGATACCTGATAGGTCTGTCAGTTTCTCTGGGTGGTAGTTTTTAGACTTTTTATCTTAAGCATCAGAATTCCCCTTTTCCCTAATAAACATAGCCAGGATAAGAGGAAGCTACTCTGATTGGTCTGGAAGACATGGGGTGGTATGGCCAGAGCCTTGACCCCGGCCTTTGGCTCCCCCTTCTTGGCAGCCTCTGAGGCTGCAAACCACTGAGTTAAATAACACCACTTTTAATTAATCCTGAGTCATATGGCCACAAAGCTGTAAGTCATCTTAAAAAACATCTAGTTCATTTGATCCATCTCTTATTGTAAATGAAGGGACTTGCTACTCTTTTTAGTAGCTAGATTGTAATTTTCAGTTTTGGGCTTTAACCTGTATTTCATAATGCAAAATTTTTTTATTTGATTGTGTTTAACATCGACTTGAATTAAGCCTGTATAGAAAAAAACACTCATGTGTTTCTCCTTTATTCACATACTAGTACCACACAATAGTCCTAACACTGGATTTAGAGGTTTTTCTTCACACATTAAGCAAGTCTTTGACACCAGCCAAGCATCCTGTAATTTAGTTCAATTCTGACACTGTCTACCTGGAGTGAGTGAGCATCAGATCCCACAAGATAAAGGCTCAGTCCCACAAGACTACCCCCATTTCAGACACCAGTCAAAAGTCCCAGGTTGTCACCTGTACTTCTGATAGACCAGCTATAAATTAGAGTTTCTGTGACCCCTTGAGTTTGTTAATTTGCTAAAATGGTTCACAGAACTGGGGAAACACATTTACTGATTCATTATTAAGGATATAATAAAGGGTATAAATGAAGAGATGCATAGGGCATAGTATGTGAAAAGGGACACGGAACTTTCATGAGGTCTCCAGACGTGCCACTCTCCTAGCACCTCCGCTGGGTACCAGCCCGGAAGCTCTCCAAACCGCATACATAGGGATTGTTATGGGGGCTTCCTCACTTAAGCATGATCTCCTTTCCCATCCCCTCTCACTTTCCTGGAAGGTGAGGAATGGGGCCGAAAGTTCCAAGCTGACAATTACAGCTTGTTGTTCCTGGTGACCGGCTCCCATCCTGATGCTGTCTAGAAGCCCACAGAGAGTTATATATTAGCACCAAAACACTCTTTCACCCAAGAAATTCTGAAGGATTTAGGGGCTCTGTGTCAAGAACCAGGGCCAAAGGCCAAATACTAGAGCAAAAGATGCTTCTAATGCTCTTGTTGCTTAGGAAATTAGGAAGGTTTTTTTGTTTGTTTGTTTAAGATTTTATTTATTTATTTTTAGAGAGGGGAGGGAGAGAGAAGGGCGGGGGGAGAGAGAGAGAGAGAGAGAGAGAAACATCAGTGTGCGGTTGCCGGGGGTTATGGCCTGCAACCCAGGAATGTACCCTGGCTGGGAATCGAACCTGGGACACTTTGGTTCCCAGCCCGTGCTCAATCCACTGAGCTACGCTAGCCAGGGAAATTAGGAAGGTTTTAAGAGTTCTCTGCCAGGAACCAGGTAAGAGACCAGTATGGTTTTGGTTTTGTTTTTTGCTATTACTTCACAGCCCCAAAAAGCAGTGTCCGTTTCTGTCCTAACTGCAAAAAATTTCCAAAATACTACTATAGAACCACATGCCAATTAGGTACAATATATAAATTAATGAAATTCACAGGTTATTTTCCTCTAGTGGGAATTTATTTTTGCACCCAAGAGAACTTCTAGTTACTCTGTGTACATGCAGAACATTAGCTATAAAGCGCTGTTAATATTTTTTAAAGACTGTAGTCTTAAGTTGAAGCACTCCTATTTCCCATTATTTGCTTTATAAAATCAAGCAAAGCATTTCTTTCCTAGGTATTACAGTGCGGGGCAAATTGTGCTAATACCAAATGTATATGAATCATCAAAAGCTAAAATCGTAATCCTTCAGTTATGTATTTACAGGTTTCACATTTCTTTTGTTTGGTACCTGGATGGTATATTCTACTATCTTGCAGTATTGTCATTGCTAAAGCCAGAAGTGTCAGCATCCTGCTTTTTTTGCCCTTGAAAATAGTTACAGTTTTGTATATTTTTTTAAAGTCCTTTGTACATGTATGCAGGTACATGTATGCTGTGCCTTTAGTAAAGCTTAGTTTGCTGTACATTTACATCCCACCTCCACAAATACCACCTGGTGTTTCTTACCTGATATTTTCTAGCCCTCTCTTTGGTGCCTGACCTGTACACCAGCTATTCCGAGGGAATAAGGTTACCCATATTTCTTTGCCACCTGTGTCACAAGTATACTTTCAATTTTAAGAACAAAAGAAAAGCCCTTTTGTTTGTATATATACAGTAACAATAGTTTATAGCAAAACTTATCTACTTGTCAGGTATGTGCTTATCAGTAAAATAATCTCTTCCAAGTTTAAAAAAAAAAAGGTCTTGCCTATCCTTGACCACATGCGCGCACTTTCACGTGACTCCACTGAAAGTTGAAAATAAATACGACTTCATCCATTTTAACTATGTTAGAATCTACACTAGATTGTCATCCTAGATTGCAGAATTTTTTTTTTAATGGAAAGAAAACTTAAATTAGTTCTGGCACTTGGTTGCTCCATCTGAGTTAGTTATTGTGTTACCACAAAAGATTCTCTGTAGGAAAGCAGTGAACTGTGATATAGCAAAACTCACCAGTGTTAAACAAAACCTAAATAATCTAGATTACTTTCTTTTTCTTTTATAGTTAAAGATTTTATTTATTTTTAGAGAGGGGAAGGGAGGGAGGAAGAGAGAGAGAGAAACCTCAATGTGTGTTGCCTCTCACATGCCACCTACTAAGGACCTGGCTCACAACCCAGGCACGTGCCCTGATTGGGAATCAAAATGGTGACCTTTTGGTTCACAGGACAGTGCTCAGTCCACTAAGCCACACCAGCCAGGGCTAGATTACTTTCTTAATTTTGGTATGATTTCTAAAGTGTTTGTTCTATTGCAGTCTCCCAATTCTTAAACAATATTGGTTTAATATGTGGTTTTTTTAATTATGTGCTGTTTTATGCCTTTAAAACCTAGTAACCACTGTTTTCTGTCTCTTTTTATGTTGTGCACATGGCATTGTCTCATTTGTAATCTTACTTCCGCCCCAAGCATCCCATTTTTGTGTAGTGTCCTTGCACTCCCCATCTCCCTGTTCCCACCACCCCAAAAAGTACATTCTAGTATTGAAGGGTGAATGGGCTTTCTGGAGAAAAAGGGAGCAGTTGTTTTTTTCCTGTTAATTCTAGCAAGTAGTATTATTTAGGAGTAGTTTTTAGTTCATTTCCGGTAATTTTTTCCTCCATCATTTTAGCCAAATATTTCATCTTTCTTTTTTTTTTTTTTAAGATTTTATTTATTTACTTTTAGAGAGAGGGGAAGGGAGGGAGAGAGAGAGAAACATCAATGTGTGGTTGCCTTTTGTGCATCCCCCACTGGGGACCTGGCCCACAACCCAGGCATGTGCCCTGATGGGAATCGAACCTGCATTCCTTTGGTTTGCCGTTCGGCGCTCAGTCCCGGAAGCCACACCAGCCAGGGTTCATCTTTTTCTACTTGATGCACTTTAGTAATCATATGCCTGTTAATCTTAAAATATTTCAATGGTGGCTTTTTCTGCATTTGCCATATTATCATTGGGATTGAGTCTTTTTTGGTTACCTAGTGCAGCTTTCAAGGCTAACCCTCTACCCACTTAAACTCTATTAATGTTGAAGATTGTGTGTGGTTATCAAGAGTTATCGGCTGGCAGCTCTATGGAAGGAAATCTGTATTTCTGCCATGAAGCCTCGTGTGTGCAGTGTGTCAGCTCTCTTAGGTTCTGAGTACTAGCCATCCGGGCTATTGGACTATCTGGGAATGTTCTTGAAGTGCAGAAAATCGGACTTCCCACCAAATTATTTTCTTTCAGACAGTCAGGTGGAGGTTTTACATTTGTGCTGGGGAGCCCTCAGCATTTGGATTTGGCCATGTCCTGCAGGACCTGATGATAGCTTACCTTGCAGGGAAGGAGAGTCGCTCCCAGATAGCCCTCACGAGTGGCCCTGGAGCAGGAAGTGGTGAAGCAGATCTTCCTGGTTTGGGAGGAGCCTGAGGTGGACCTCTCGTCCTGAGTCTGGAAGGTAAATTTGTTGTTACCTGTAAATTATGGTTCTGCTAGTTCATGCTATGCCAATCCAGACTTTCAGAGGTATCCCTCCTGCCAGCAAGAGAAGACAGATGACTTGGATGAAGATGGCTGTCAAGCCCTGGGTCATTTAGTCTTCCACACTTAAGAATATTCATTTAAACAAAAGGGCAGATATATCTATGTAATTACCTTGCTATTTCAACACATCGAGCACATACCGTTCAATGACTGTGGTGCTCTTTTACGTTGTTGTTTTCGTTTCCTCTTTTTTCTTTCTCAGAGTAAACCATATGGATTGGTTTAAGAGGGCCTAGCAGAACCACAAACTTACAGGCAAGAACAAATGTCACTTTCTGCTACTTTCTCCTATACCAATCCAGACTGTAAGGGCCAAAACCATAATATCCCCCACTAAAGTCAACATTAACTTTATTTTTTCAGTGATCGTATTGACACTTTGTTTTCTTTAATAAAATGTAACAAAGTTATTTTCTCCAAACAATTATTAAGGCTTTTTAAAAAAAACTCAGCATGACATTGTCATACATAATTCAAAAGGGAATCTTGTATGCCAAATTCACTTAGCAGTGTCCCAACATAAACCCCAGCTGGTCAACAATTCCATGCCTCTTTCTTCTCAATGAAAAATAAACCCATTCCATAAGATTTGGCAGCCAAATAAAGAGGGATGAATACACTACCTTAATTCAATACATATATTTAACTACATCTGTCTGCTCTGATTGGTTCTTCCTCACAGAATTGAATGCATGTTCTTGGTGTTAATTTATTTTAGCTTAATCTGTGTTACCTATCTTCCTTCCAGCCTCCTTTTCTAATTATATCTGCTGGCAATAGGGATGGCCCCAGTCTAGAGTGATATAGGGGGAGATAGCAGAACCTGAAGAGTCCAATATTTCAATTTAAAAAAAGCAGAAGGAGGTAGTCATGGTGGATGTATTATTTTTTTTGTACAGCTCAAGGAGGTAGTGATGTGTACTCTTCCAGAATCAAAAATTGTTGAGCTAGGCCACCGTCCGCAAGTTACTGAGGCAGACTCACTGTTGCTACTTCAAGCAGTAGCTACAAATTGATTCCGTGTTTGGTTCCAGACTTACCCTAGTTCAGTATTTGACATTTTCTTCCTCTCCTTCAGAAATTCTATGTAAACTATTGAGAGGATAGGGGTTTTGAATACTGTGTTAGGCTAATCTTCCTGTTGGGTTAGTATTTGCCAAAGTGTGGGAGTCCTTGCATGAAAAACATCGCAGAATGTTCAGAGTGGCTGGTTTGTGTAACTCCTGGATGTCTTCGTTTACTCATCTTCAAGCTTGGAAGCTATTTTGTCTTTTCCTGATTCGTTTGTATTATCAGGTCTTTTACAACCTCACCTAATCCTTTTCTCTGTGGTCAAGGTGTTAACTTATACTTAATGAGGAGCTGGAGTCAAGGGCCACAGAGATGGTTCAGTATTGTCAACATTTATATTCCTGAATTTGCTGATTTTGATTTAATCAACCATTGCATACGTGCCAAATACTTGTAAATGGCCTCAAGGTTTAGTTTTTTAATCCTCCCCCAAGGACATGCCCTTTGATTTTAAAGAGAGAGGGAGGGAGGGAGAGAAACATCCATGGTGGGGAGAGAACCATCTGTGGTAGGTCAACTGGTTGCCCCTCATGTGCTCCCCAACCGGGACCGAGCCTGCCACCCAGGCATGTGACCTGACTGGGAATCAAACCCACGACCTTTCGGTTTACAGGAGGACGCTCCAGCCAACTGAGCCACACCAGTCAGGGCAATGGCCTCACATTTTAAGGATTAAAATGGAGTGGAAATTGTAATTTGGAAACGTATGTGAACTTTTTGAAAATCCCTTCATGATAGCCATTTGATTGGTTTTCTGGATCTCCATCTTAACCATTTGGTATAAAGGCTAGTGATTTCCAGCTCTAACATTGAAAGTTTTTTCTTTGTTTATAGTAACTCCTGCATGAAAAATTTAGAAACAGCATTATTTAGCCATGGTATGCGTAAACTCCAACTTTTAAATAACTTGACTCGGTACTTTTGCCACATGTCTGTCTGAACAGGCTGTATTTCTGTTCTATGAATTTTAACTAAGTTGAAATATAAATAACTAAGTTTTGTTTCTCCTTTGTTATTAGAAACCACATTGCTGATGGGAATTATTTTTCTTTCGGCTCTTTGGCAAGATCTTTTAAAATTAGGGATTAAAGTGCAGTCATTCATTCAGTACATGTTAAAAATAATGAGTTTCTTAAGTCAGTTTTGTCCTGTGAAATCTACCAAGTTGTGATTCAGCTTTTACAAAAATTACTGCTCAAGTCTTGTATTAGGACAGTATTGAGTTTTGAAGTCAACATGGATCTATTCTAATGTATGTGAATCCTCTTCATCTTGAGCTTGACGCTGTCACTGGCTTTCTCCAAATAGAATTCTGTGAAAAAAGAAATAATTACACTTCTAAAGAAAAGTGAATAATTTGAATGGCATTTTTAGTTCAGTATTTTATTATTGGTAGCAATGCTTAAGTTTGGATGGACTGTTTTAGGCTTTGTATTAATAAAATGATAATTTAATAATTTTTATATGACAGGCACCTATGGGGACCTGCTGGGGTGATATCTCAGAGAATGTGAGAGTAGAAGTTCCCAATACAGACTGCAGCCTGCCTACCAAAGTCTTCTGGATTGCTGGGATTGTAAAACTAGCAGGTGAAGAGCACGCTTCATGTATTAGAAAACGCCAAATGTGTTTGTAACTTATAAGGAAGCATATTTGTGAATTTTGCAAATGTTGCCAAATAAATTAATATGGTAATAGGGCAGGGATTGGCAAACTTTTTCTGTAAAAAGCAAAACAGTCCATGTTTTCAGCTTCTTGGACAATACAGTCTGTCATAACTACTCAACTCAGCCATCATAGCATGAAAACAGCCGTAGTGATACATAAATGAATAGGCATGGCTGTGATTTAGTAAAACTTTACTTATAAGCACTGAATTTGATTTTTATTTAAATGTCATGTATCTTGAAATATTATTCTTCCTTTGTTTTCTAGGTTTGTTTGTTTTCCATTAAAAGTGTAAACACCATTCTTAGATGGCAGAATATAAAAAACATCAGGCCAGATCTGTGGGCCAATGATAGTTTGCCAACCCCTGGAATAGGGAAATACTTGAAAAAGTAACACACAGTTGAGGTACTGAAAAAAGTGATAAGATTTATAATGCCAAAAATAAACTAGGGTTGATAATTTTGTGTGTCTTGGATTCTTCCTTTTTTCTCATCCTCACTCCCTTTATATACTCTGGCCCTTCTTAATTGCTCATGAAATAAATGCGTTAGGTATTTATGACATTAGACACTGTAAGCAAGTGATGTGCAGGAGTGTAAGATTTGTTTGTTTTTTTTCAGCAACCTTACATCTGCCAGTGTTGGATATGATTATGACAGGGTGCCCAGTGAGTGGCGGTATAGTAGGGCACTGGAGTACTTTGGAGGAGGGATAGCCACTCAACTAAGAAAAGTTGTCCTTAGATGACTGGAAGAGGTGTCTTATTCAGCCTGCTCTTTTTAGCCCTGTCCAGAAATTCTCCCCCAAACACCCTGCGTACTGGTCACTGTTCTGCCGATAAATTTAATTTACCTAAAAATGATCTTAATTCCATTTTTCTACTCAAATGCCTTTTTTTTAATTGTTGATTTTTAGAGAGAAACAAATTTATTGTTTCACTTCTTCATGCATACATTGGTTGATTCTTCTGTGTGCCCTGAACGGGGTTTGAGCCCGGAGCCTTGGCATACCCAGATGGTGCTCTGACCGAGCTACCTGGCCAGGGTCCGCTCAGATGTCTTTAATGCTTCCTTTGTCGTTCAAGGACAGATATGGTCAGCATTTACAGCTAGTTGAGTTGCACCATATGCCAGTGCCCAAATTTTTGTTGCTCCCCAACATAAGTGATCTTTTCTGATGGGATCAATCTTCCTCCTCCCTCATATAACCTATTCTCTGTCACCTCTGTGCCTCTGCTTACTCCCATAGCAATGTGCCATGCTTTTCTTTTTTTAATTTAATACAAATAATTATATTTTATTGATTATGTTAATACAGTTGTCCTGATTTTTCCATCTTTAGTCCCCCTCCACCCAGCACCCCCACTCCTTCAAGCAATCCCCCCACCATTGTTCATGTCCATGGGTCATGTGTGTATAAGTTCCTTGGCTGCTCCATTTCCTATATTGTACTTGACATCCCCACGGCTATTCTGTGACTACCTGTTTGTACTGCTCAATCCCCTCACCTCTTCACCCTTTCCCCCATAACTCCTCCCATCTGGCAACCATCAAAATGCTCTCTGTATCCATGATTCTGTCTCTGTTGTTCTTGTTTGCTTAGCTTGTTTTTTAGATTCAGTTGGTGATAGATATGTATTTATTGCCATTTTATTGTTCATAGTTTTGATCTTTTTTAAAAAGATTTTATTTATATTTAGAAAGGGGGAAAGGGAGGGAGAAAGAGAGGGAGAGAAACATCAGTGTGTGAGAGAAACAATAGGTGGCCTCTCTCACACCCCCGACTGGGGACCCGGCCCACAACCTAGGCATGTGCTCTGCCAGGAATCGAACCAGCAACCTTTGATTCATAGGTCGGCACTCAGTCCACTGAGCCAAACCAGCCAGGGCTGATCTTCTTTTTCTTAAATAAGCTCCTTTAACATTTCATACAATGATGATTTGGTGATAATGAACACCTTATGTTTTTATTTGTTTGTGTTGGGGTTTTTTTTGTTTGTTTTGGGGTTTTTGTTTTTTGTGTTTTTTAATCTGGGAAGCTCTTTATCTGTCTTTTGATTCTAAATGATAGCTTTGCTGAGTAGAGCATTCTTGGTGTAGGTCCCTGCTTTTCATGACTTTGAATGTTTCGTGCCAGTCGCTCCTAGCCTGCAAAGTTTCTTTTGAGAAATCAGCTGACAGTCTTATGGGAACTCCCCTGTAGGTAACTAACTGCTTTTTTTTTTCTTGCTGCTCTTAAGATGCTCTCTTTATCTTTAACCTTTGGCGTTTTAATTTTGATGTGTATTGGAGTGGGCCTCTTTACATCTTTCTTATTTGAGACTCTGTGCTTCCTGGACTTGCTGTTTCCTTCACCAAATTAGGCAAGTTTCTTTCATTATTTTTCAAATAGATTTCCAGTTCTTTGCTCTTTCTGTTCTCTTGGCATCCCTATGATGTGAGTGTTGGAATGCTTGAAGTTGTCCCAGAGGCTACTTATACTATCCTCAGTTTTTTGGATTCTTTTTTCTTGTTGTTGTTCTGATTGGTTGTTTTTTGCTTCCTTAGGTTCCAAATCATTGATCTGATTCTTGGCTTCATCCACTCTACTACTATTTCCCTATAAAATGTTCTTTATTTCAATTAGTGTATCGTTCGTTTCTGACTGGATCTTTTTTATGCTGTTCAAGTCCTCGCTAAGTTCCTTGAGCAACCTTATAAACAGTGTTTTGAACTCTGCATCTGATAGATTGTTTATCTCCATTTCATTTAGCTCTTTTTTGGACTTTTGATCTGTTCTTTCAATTGGACCATATTTCTTTGTCTCCTCATTTTGGCAGCCTCCCTATGTTTGTTTCTATGTATTAGCTGCTTTGACTCCGTGTCTTGGTAGTCTGGCCTAATGTAGTAGGTGCCCTGCAGGGTCCAGTGGCACAGCCTCCCCTATCACCCAAGCTGGGCTCGAGGTGCACCCTTTGTGTAGGCTGAGTACACCCTCTCCTTGTAGTTGAGCTTTGGTTGCTCTTGGCAGATTAAAGAGAGGGATGTACCCAGGCCAGTCAGCTGCAAGGACTGGCTTTGACCACTGACCACCAACCTCTGCCCTCTGTGGAGGATCAGTTGTGCAGTAGCAGGGTGGTGGTGCTTGGATGTGGTCTGTAGCTGTCCACTGTGTGTGCTGGCCCTGGGGTTTCCCAGGTGGGGCAGGCCAAGATCAGCCCCCACCTGTGTTTTGCCTGGGGCCACCCTGCCTGAGTTGCAAAGTAATCTGAGATGGCTGGTACTTGTACTTGGTTTGGAGAGTCCTAGGTAAAGCCAGGCTATGAACCTAGGCTGGTTGCTGCTAGTGCAGAGCTGGGGGCTCACTGAGGCCACCTTTTGCTTGTTTGAGAGGATTTAGGCCCTTGTGAAGCAGGAGCCAAGACCAGCCATTCATATGGAAAATTAGCTTGAGAGGGTCCATAAGTTGGGTGGGGCTATGTCTCTGGGGATCTCCAAGGCATGTCAAGTGTTAGCCAGGTTGATGGGGTCTCAGCTATGGCACTAGCTTGCAGGCTCTTTCAGGGGAGGCTTTAGAAAGGGGACAGTGGCCTCTGCTCACCTTGATGCCCGACACTTCAGTTCCTCCCTTTATGCCCTTGATGCCTTTCAAGCTGCTGCCCCAGTGCTGGAGCTCAAAGGGAGTGAGTCTGAGTAGGTGAGTCTGTGTGTAGGCTGTATAAGAGGAGCTTCTTGGGACTCATGGACTCAGTCCCCACTGGTTTTTGCAGCCATAAGTTGTGGGGACTTACCTTCCTGGCTCTGGAACCCTGGGCTGGGTGGCCTAGTGTGGGGCTGGAACTACTTGCTCCTGAGATATCCCTCTAGAAGTTTTAGCCACCACTCGTGAGGGACCACCCTTTTCTGCACATGTGCCCCTCCTACTATTCTGGGTGGATATGGTTTCTTTAATTCTGCCAGACTTCCATTCAACTTAATTTCTGATGGTTATTATATATTTCAGTTAAAATTTTGATGTGGTTGTGCAAAGAGGTGAGCCATATCTACCTGTGCCACCATCCTGACTGGAAGTCTATTTCATGCTTTGTACTTAGCATGTAACCCAATTCAACTCCCACCTTTTCCTTCAGATATTTCCCCAGCTATATAAGCATTTCTAAATGATTGTATTCTCTACACCAAAATTTAAAACAGCAATATGTTGTTTCTGTCCTCGATGTTTAAGTCAGTGGCAGTGAATATCTAAGAATTATTATTTGCCTTCCATGTCTGATTTTACTTTTCTGTTTTATCTAATTGCTTCATATATCTTATTCTAGCCACTTTAATGGTATTTTAGAAGTGAGCCTGATGATATTATGAACTAGAGCTTAATATAATATGATAATTATGAACTATAGCCGTTAACAGACTCGTGAGTTTTTCTGTGAATTATGAATTTTAAGGCTAAAGGTTTAATGCTATAAATTTTTATCTTAGATATTAACTCATGAAAATGCTGACTGAACTTACCTCCTGGCCTGAAATATAAGTTATTGGTCCTCTTTTATTCCACTAAAGGCCTTAAGTTAAACCTTGATCTATTTCAACCTAAGATTTATTAAATTACAAACAGGTTATATAACCTTACTATTCTTTCTATGAAATATAGTTTCCTATTTGCTTAGTAGATACAGTTTTTAAATGATTTCACATGCTATTGTTTGTATTTATTGAGTTTCTTGACCTAACATTTTTCTAGTCTTATTTCCAAATAAATAGGTTGAACATTTTAGACTTTGGAAGTAGCTAAATCCAGATTATCAACTGGATAAAGTAATTTCTCTGAAATATACTTTAACTGGATTTCTTTGACTTAAAAAGGTTTTATTAACCACACAATCATCTTTCTTTTATTTTCAAAACGACACATTCTAGAACTTTCCCAACCGTGTTTTCACTGCAGATTTATTTTTCAGAATTTAAAAAACTATGAGTGAAATTGAAATACATTCAAAGGAGGAAGCCATGCCCTGAAAACCATTAAACTAGCTGCATTATATAAATGGTTCTCGGTTGGAGTGTTGTCCGTGCACCAAGTGCTTCTCGAAGTCCGGTCCCTGCACCAGTGGCCACAGCATCGCTAGGGACTAGTCAGAAATGCAGATCCTCAGACTCACCCGAGATACAAATCAAAACCTCCAGGTTGGGGCCTCGCTGTCTGTCTGCACACAAGTCCTGCAGGTGTTTCTGGTGCAGATGCACGCTAACATTTCCCAGCCATTACCAGCGCTAGATCCTGTTCTGTTTCGTTCGCTTTCTCCTTATGTGGTGATTGCTTTATTGATTTCAGGTTACAATGCCCTGTTAAGATATGAAGGATTTGAAAATGACTCTGCTCTAGACTTCTGGTGCAATGTGTGTGGTTCTGATATCCATCCAGTTGGTTGGTGTGCAGCCAGTGGAAAACCTCTTGTCCCTCCTAGAAGTAAGTAGTCTGTTTATCCTTACTGTAATTTAAATATACATAACTTAATGCAGTTTCACTCGTAGTAACATTAAGATAATATAGAAATTAAAATTATATTTTTTTGTTTTCAAGTAACATATTTGCCAGCAAGACATACTTGTCTTCTATATTTTTGTTGCCCTTCTTCAGGATCTTGATTAATATAGTATATTGCAAGGAAATTTATTTTTCCCTTACAAATACTTTATGAAGCAATTATACTCGTCGCTAAAGTGTAACTGGTTATTTCTTCTGTTCTAGCTATTCAGCATAAGTATGCTAACTGGAAAGCTTTTCTAGTGAAACGACTTACTGGTGCCAAAACACTTCCTCCCGATTTCTCACAAAAGGTAAAGACTTAGAAAGGACTGGAGTGTCAAATGAGAGCTCTGTAAAAAGGAGTGACTTCTGAGTTTTGTTAAGGAATTGCTTTAGTTTAGTGAGCCAGAGCCACATTAAATATCAATAGTTTTAATAGCACAATGGTAAAATGACTTGTAGACCTCTGTCTTGAATTCCAAAGAGTTTTCATCTGCTTTGGTTTCAAGGTTTCAGAGAGCATGCAGTACCCTTTCAAACCTTGCATGAGAGTAGAAGTGGTCGACAAGAGGCATTTGTGTCGAACACGAGTAGCAGTGGTGGAGAGTGTCATTGGAGGAAGATTAAGATTGGTGTATGAAGACAGTGAAGACAGAACAGATGACTTCTGGTGCCACATGCACAGCCCGTTAATCCATCATATCGGTTGGTCTCGAAGCATAGGCCATCGATTCAAAAGATCTGGTAAGCACCTGTCACAAGAACTCCTGTTGACAATGTCACTGAGGCTGAAGTGCACTACTTGATTATTTTCCTCTCCAGAATAGCACAGGTCAGAAATAGCAGTTTAGTTGTCTGGGCTGCTTGTTCTACCTTCATTAGGGAAGCTTCACACCGGAATATTTGTATCCTAATTCCTTTATATTCCTTCTGCTTGTTCCCAGTTTTAAAATAATGCACTTTTGGTCACCACTCCATTTGGTTTTTCTATACTTTTCTTATCCAGCCCATTTGATCTAAAGATACCCTTTCCCATTCCATTCAATTTAAATCAAAATAGGATTACATCTGGTTAGACTTAATACTGAACACATTAAAACATGTTTCTAAAGTTGTAATTCCCTAATTAAGGAAATAGCCAGCATTCTAATTGGCTGACTGTACTTAATGGCACATGTATCCTGACAAGAGAAATTATTAAAGGTTATTCATCGTAAATGTAGAAGGCATGTATTTTTGCCATGTTTTAGAGTATACATACCTTGTGAGTTTGAAACCTTCAAAGAAACGTGGTTTTTGATCTTCTCACAAATGCTGACAGATTAGTATGTAACTTTTCCTTGTAGATATTACAAAGAAACAGGATGGACATTTTGATACACCACCACATTTATTTGCTAAGGTAAGAAGTTTTTATAAGAACCCTCATTTGTAAATTATGTTTGAAAGAGGGTTGTGGGTTTTTCCTAAATTATGGAAATCACAATTACATATGTTCACTTAAAAGGATTGAGACCTTGTAATTCACAGGTGTCACAACTATTGATTATAATTACCCTTAAATTCTGCCGGTTTACCTGAATTCTCTCTGTTCCCTAATGGAAGTTTGAGTTACAATATTAGGTAGGTAGGAGAAGGCATTTGGTATTTCCATGTGGTAAACCTTTTCTAATTGGTAACATTGTAATTATTAAAATTATAACAGTTGTAACAGTAGATGTGCTTTCATGTAATTTTTTAGGTAAAAGAAGTAGACCAGAGTGGGGAATGGTTCAAGGAAGGAATGAAATTGGAAGCTATAGACCCATTAAATCTTTCCACAATATGTGTCGCAACCATTAGAAAGGTAAGAGAATGGGTACTAAACTACAGAAATGCAGTTATAGGAACTGTGTTTAAGGTATTGGGAGAAAGAAGCCCTAACGCAATTCATTTTGACATAAAATATATGTGTCTGGATCTTCACTGGGAAGTCGGTTACTAGTAATTTTAGAATGAATTTGAATTCTCTTATCAGAGGATCTCTTTTTGTATAGCTTGTTGTCAAGATTGTCATCTTGAGTCTGCCACCTTTTTTTGTTGAAGTGTATCCTAAGTAGAGGAAGAATATTTAATTAAATTACTTCCTGGTCAGAGCTAGTCCAGCAGAGAATTGTAACAAGGCCAATATTATCTTCAGTTTCCTGTATAAACTTTTTGGGCCTTTTCCTTCCTTTTGGTAGTGCTTTTCTTTTCTTTTTCTTAATTATTCCTCTTTTTTTCTTTATTTTCAGTTTTTCCTCTTTTCTGACACTGCTTTAGGAAAAGATCTAGAAGAGTGGTTCTCACTTTTCAGTTAGGCATCAGAATCCCCTGGGAAACTTATAAAAATAGGTAATCAGGCCTCTTGTTCCCCTATCTGATTAAATCAGTGTGGTTTGAGGCCCCAGAATTGGCGTGTTGGTTTCTTTTCAAATCCCCAGGTAATCCATAAGCACAGCCACACTTAAGAACCACTGATCATGAGTATACCTACATAAAGGTATAACTTAAATTGTGATGTGCATTTCAACCCAGTTTAAAACCTAAAGCTAAAGGAATTAAAAACAGTGATGTTGGCTGCTGTGTCTCAAGCACCTGTTCAAGGTCACACAGCTAGAAAAGACTGGCTCCAAACCCTGTTCTTCCTCGTTTTCTGACTAGTGATCAGAGTCACCTGCTACAATTTAAAACACATGTTTCCATGATCTGCTCAAGACCTGCTCAATCAGAATCACAAGAAATATTGCCCAGAAATCTGTGTTTGTTTTTAAAAGGAAGAAAGCATGGAGTTCTCTGGGTGATTGTGACTCTCCGGGTTCAGGACCCAGTGCCACTATCCCGTGCCCTTGTCCAGAGAAGTGTCCAGTTAGTACGATGTCAGGCTACCCTCAGGAGATACTGAGTTAATGCCGTCTGTGCTAGGAGACGCTAAAAAGCTTACCGTCTTACGGAACAAAGTAAGATGACAAAAATAAGTTTAATACAAGATTGACCGTGGCTTCAGAAAGGTACAAAGTACTGTTGGGATTCAGACAAAAGAGAGATGATGTTGGCTCAGAGGAATCAGGGAAAGCTTTGTAGAAGGGAGGACATTTGAAAACTTAATCTTGAAGGATGGTAAAAGTGGGCCCAGCAGAGATACAGGAGGAAGCTGCCGTAGGAAGAGAATGCGCACAAAAGCATCCAGGAAGGAAAGTACAGGCCACGTTTAGGAAATGACCAGTGGTTCACACACAGTGCACTTCAGACAAGTTGCACTGAGTATTCTGGGCAAGGCTTTTTCTTTATAAGAAACAGAAACCAGCCCTGGCTGGTGTGGCTCAGTGGCTTTGGGCCTGTGAACCAGAGGGTCACTGGTTCGATTCCCAGTCAGGGCACATGCCTGGGTTGCAGGCCAGGTCTGCAGTAGGGGGGCAACTACATACTAATGTTTCCCTCTCTTTCTCCCTCCCTTCCCCTCTTTAGAAATAAATTTTAAAAATCTTTAAAGAGCTCCAGCTGGTATAGCTCAGTGGATTGAGTGTGGGCTGCAAACCAAAGGGTTGCCAGTACAATTTCCAGTCAGGGCACATGCCTGTGGTATGGGCCAGGTCTCCAGTGGGGGGCCACATGAGAGTCAACCACACATTGATAGTTCTCTCCCTTTCTCCCTCCCTCCCCTCTAAAAATAAATAAATAAAAGATTAAAAGAAAAAAGAAAGAGAAACCCACCCAAGTTAGCTCTAGGAACGTTACTCCGAGGACACAATGGGCAATCTCCCAGACATGGAAGCAAAGGGATGAGAACTGGAAAGCCATGGGCCTGTGTGTCCCCCTCTGCTCTATTCTGAGTCTGTTCCACTTTCCTTTGATGGACGTTGTGCCCACACAGTCAGCACATGTTGCCGCAGTCCTGCTCTGTATCACAGCCTTTCAGTCCCAGCTCTGACATGGGGCTTGAAAAATAGTCTTTGTGTGTTAAGTCTAGTTACTGAGAGAGAATCTAGCTGAACTCAGCCTTTGGCTTGGTCCCCTGAAGGTTAGAAACTAGCCCCTAGCTCAGTCAGTTGCATTTAGAAAGGGAGAAAGGAATCCCATGTGATGTGGGTAGTGCTTTTCAGGGGTCTTGGACAAAGCTGTTGACACTTGAAGAGAAAGTTATTCTATGCAGGGAGGAGCAAAAATAGGTTTACAGTTATTACATAAATAATGCAATAATTAATATGTAATAATATAAGAATAAACTCTGTTTTGTGTACTCAGAACTGTAAACCTACTTTTGCCCTACCCTGTACATACCCAATATAGACGAAAACACCAGAAGGAAGGAACTTGGGAGCAGAGACTGAGAGATAATGTGTAACCCAGTAGTGCAGACTCAGAATGCTTGGTCAGACCCTTCTGAGCTTCCTTTAATGACAGGGTAGGTTGGCGAAGCATTCTGGCATAAACAGAGGTCATACCAAAGGAAAGTTTCACTTGTGAAAGGGAACTGTCCGTAGGGGAAGACTGAAAACAATGCTGTCAAACAGGATAGTGGAGAAGAGAGTTAGTGGCAAGGGTAAAAGGATCGAGTGTTCATAGAGAGTTGCGGGACCTGTAATTGATAACCTTTGAGTTGTTAGTTTGATGCCCTGTGTTAACTTTCAGACACTATGTTCAGCCTGCAAGTAAAATGCAGGACTGAGAAACTAGAATAGAGACAAACTCACAATAAACTTGAGGGGTTGTTGGCATAGAAGTCTGTCATTGAAACGTTGAGTGTGGATGAGGACACCAAAACAGAAAGAACAGGACTAACATCAGAAACCGAAGGGTTGGAGGTGAAAGGGCAGCCGCCACTAAAATGTGGAAGGAATGATCAGAGGTGAGAATATTGACCAGTGACTGCACTGTAATGAGAGTCTGGGAGAAAATGTTTCAAAAAGTTAAGAGTAGCCAGTGGATATTGGAAACTGCGGGAAGGCTGAAGTTTAAGGAGGATGAGTGTTGGGAAAAGGCACTGGATTTGACAAACTGAGGTCATTAGTAAACTTAGCAGTTTAGTAGGGTAAGGACAGAAGTCAGACTGCAAGAAGTGTGTGTGTGTGTGTGTGTGTGTGTGTGTAAGACTTAAGTCTCTAGGTGAAAACAATATAGGAGTCATTATACAGTGAACTGTTTCAAAATAAAGTATTTTTGCTTTTTGTTCCACATAAAATACTTTTAATGTAATAGAAGTTGGAGGACATTAGATTCAGATTAAATGAGCCAGTATTTTGACAAAGGTACCAGTGGTGATCGTAAGACAAGATGGAAAGGTTTGTGTGGGATGGAAAAGGGCTATTGCAACAATTTGAGGTGTGAAAGAAGTGAGGGGAAGACCCTGCCCAACTGGCCTTAGATTCTGTTGTAGAGAAACATGGTTATCTGTGGGATAAGAGAGATTAAGTTGGAGCTTGAAGATGGAAGCAGTTGGAAAACCTCTTCTTATGTGATAAATCCAAAGAAAAGAAGTATAGTTATTTCTGAGTATGATTTAGAACCTAACCATAATTAGTTGGTTAAATTAATTGTGAAAGAGCATTCAGCCTGATTTTATGGTTTCCTGGCAGCAGGCCGCCTTAGGCTTTGGCAAAGGCACTGTTTTTCCCAGACCTCTGAAATCACTTCTTTGTGACCCTGCTTTCGTTTCTGGTGCACACTGGAATTTACATAGACTTTTCCATTATCATCTTAGCTCTTTAACATAAATAATGAAGCATTTTTCAACTTTTAAGAGACCTTTATGTAATAGATTTTCCTTTCTTTTAGTGTGCCACTTAAATTTAAAGAATTATTTTTATAAATAGTGGTGTCTAATTTCAAATATTTGGAATTCTTTTAATTTAAAAGGTGCTAGCTGACGGATTCCTGATGATTGGGATCGATGGCTCAGAAGCAGCAGATGGATCTGACTGGTTCTGTTATCACGCAACCTCCCCTTCTATTTTCCCTGTTGGTTTCTGTGAAATTAACATGATTGAACTTACTCCACCTAGAGGTACTTCATGCTTATACACACACTTAGGTTTTCCTTCTTGCTTTCATTGTATGTGGTATCTGTTTACAACATGTAACACAGCCCTAGATTTCTTGCTGCATGAATACCTAATATGTGTATATATTGCATATGTAAATATATGCACACGTAAAAGAACTGTGGGATGGTCTAAAAACAAAGCACTGATTCCAGCTAGCTTTAATAAATTTTGTTAGTGTACAATTTTTTCTGAGCATCTGTACACCTTAGAGTATGAATTACTATTCTCAAGCCCTGTTGAGATGGTGATGTAGGCTCAGTAGGTTTTACTGCATCCATTAACTTTTTTTAAAATAGATTCTTTTGTTCAGGGGGGCAGGTTTTCATTTTTAGGTTCCCATGTGGCTTTCTAAAAGATACGCCCTTAAGTAGCTCTTGTGGCCTAGCCCATCAACTTCCTAATTTCAATATCTGCGCCTCTGTTTTGCTCTTAAGAAAAGGAGGAGGGAAAGCCAAAACCAGAGGTCTATAAAAATAGTATTTGTCCAGCTAGTTTTCTTTCTTTCAAAGAACGAAAATGTGACTGGGAAATTGTAAATGTTCAACTATTGTAAGTGTAGAATTGAAGAAGCAAAAGTCCACAATTCTTATAGTAGAGGAAAGAGGAGTCACTGGGATAAGGGGGTACACCAGTGTCTGCTCAGAAAAGAAGGAATATCCTCATGACATGGAGGAATTATTACACTCGGTAGTATTAGAGCATGAATTAAAAATTTGTCATATAACCTAATATCTGAGCATACAGAGTTACTTCTTTTTACCTGCTTTTTGTATTATGCTACTTTTAAACGAACTGCTACTTAAACCAGGTGTGTCTTTCAGGTTACACTAAACTTCCTTTTAAATGGTTTGACTACCTCAGGGAAACGGGCTCCGTTGCAGCACCAGTAAAACTGTTTAATAAGGTAAATGTGGAAGATGGCGTAATAATTATGTGGGATTTTACACACATGCAAACCATTATTTGATCAAAATATATTAGAATTTCTTAGTGGAGATTTGTATTTTAAAAAATAGAGTAATAAAACAATATAAATTCATTTTTTACTGAAGAAATAAAGTTTGTTTCCAAACTTTGTTTTATTTTTTAATCTGAGTAAAATGGAAATGAATACTTTGCCTAACTAGTTCTTAAATGCCTTGTCTTTTTACGTTTTAATAACTAAAGAATTATTTAGGATTTTTTTTTTTTTTGGTTTAAATTACGTTGCTTTCTTGTTTTCCTGTGTAGTGATAGTGGAGTGATGCATTCTCCTTTTCACCGGTGTTAATGTTTTGCTTCTCCATGTCAGGATGTTCCAAATCACGGATTTCGTGTAGGAATGAAATTAGAAGCAGTAGATCTCATGGAGCCACGTTTAATATGTGTAGCCACAGTAACTCGAATTATTCATCGTCTCTTGAGGATACATTTTGATGGATGGGAAGAAGAGTATGATCAGTGGGTAGACTGTGAGTCCCCTGACCTCTATCCTGTAGGGTGGTGTCAGTTAACTGGATATCAACTACAGCCTCCAGCATCACAGTGTAAGTTGCTATACAGAAAAGGTGTCCTTTTGTAAAAAATCAGCAATTCTTCAGAGGACTATTTCACATAAATCATCTTGTGAGCTCACAGGACAAGAATAGACCTATGTCTGATTGGTTGCCAGGTAAGATCTTAAGACTCAACAACAATATCACAGAATCAGACCATGTTTACCATGGCTGTGTGAACTCAATAGTCAGTTATATGATGACTATAGAAACACAACAGTAGGAGCACTCACCAAATTATGCTAGACTTATTTTAATGAGTTTTAAATTATAGGCATAAGATTTACTGGTGTATTATAAGTATTTACTGAGTAAATAGTGGAATCTGTATGGTGTCGAGGTTCGTGGTTTATCTGAACAAGCACCCTTATTTTCAAAGCATTATATACTTTTATAAGCATAATGGTCTTGGTAAAGATAGTTCATCTAAGTTGTGCCTGTGGTTAGTTGTAATCAATTAGCTGGTACCAGTTTTCCCTTTTTATTTTTCAGCGTCAAGAGAAAGCCAATCAGGTTCGTCAAAACAGAAGAAAAAGGCTAAGTCCCAGCAATACAAAGGACATAAGAAAAGTGGGTCATCACATGGTGTTTACATACATTTCCTAAATTGTTAACCAATTGGGGTCATGGTATTTCTGCACAGAAAATCATGTCCCTTGTGAGAGCTGACGACTGTACATTGTGTATTATGCTTAAAGGTGCAGTATGCTATAAAAGGCAAACATTTTCAATAATGAGGAATGCATATTTTAATTGACAGGAAAAATTATTACCATGATATTTGTAACATGTTAAAGAACAGAGTCTACAAATGATTTTTGAAATAATATGTAAACCTACTAGAAATTAATTTTTTAAAACCTTTTTATTAAAAAAATTTTAAGCAGATGTTTGATGCTTATAATAGACTGGGAACCTAATAAACCCAAAACTCTTACAAACTGAAACACTCTAGATCAGTACTTAAAAGAAATTCAAGTTGACGGCTAACAAAGTTAGACTTAAGAAGATTTTTCTAGTCCAATTTCTTTTTTTTAATTGATTGATTTCAGATGCGGGGAAAGAAACACTGAGCTGTTGTTCCAATTACACATTCACTGGTTGATTCTTTTATTTATTTATTTTTTTACTGATTTTAGAGAGAGGAGAGGGAAGGAAGGGGACAGGCAGAAACACCAGTTGGTTGCCTCTTGCATGCACCAAACTAGGAACCAAACGTGCAACTTTTTTGTTTGCAGGATGACTCTCCAACCTACTGAGCCACACAGGCCAGTGTTCATTGGTTGGTTTCTGTATGTGCCCTGGCCAGTGATCAAACCCACAATATTGGCGTATCGGGACAACAGTCTACCCAGCTGAGCTAATTGGCCAGGGCTGAATATACTTTCTGTGTTGTATTTTACCTTACAATGAGTGTTCATTAGAATTAATAGCCAAAATAGTATAAAATATATTGATAGCTCAACCTGAGTCTTTTAAAATCTTTCTTCCCCACCAGAGAAAGCTGTAGATTCTCTTCATGAAGATGGTCATGGAATATTTCATTCTAAGATAAGATTATTTTCATCCAAAGTTATTTTTAAAACTAAAAAGTAGATTTGAGGATTAAAACTGAAAGCTTTTTTGTTCCAGCTGACTTGCCATCAATTCAAATAAGTGCTAATCTGTCTCATTAACAACCAAGAGACTGAGAAGCATAAAAAAGGCAGTAAATCCTTACCTTTCAGATTATAGTTATTAGTTTATAATTCTTTCAGTGGGGAACTTAGAAGCTTCTACCAGCCAGTGCAGTGGCGCTTTGGTTTCCTTGCAGCAGGAAACTCGGACCAGCCTCCCTTCGGTGATAACTTGCCAGGCCTCTTACCCTCTCCTTTGTGTTACTGGCATAGGCCTCCCGCAGTCCCAGAATTATTTTGCCTGCAACTTGCTTGCCATGTTTGATATTCACCTAAAAAAAACTTCCCGAGAGCACTGTGCTGGGCAGATCAAAGTGATTCCCCACGTGTCTGGAAATGGTTAGGACACAGTCACATGGGGCTTTGTCGGTGGACTGACCGCAGCGCAGGATCGCTGGTCTCTGTGTAAGGTCGGTTAGAACAGCACGGGCCGCTCTAGCTGTGCGTTCCCTTTTCCCTGAACCATAGTTTCTGATTTCAGAGTTTTCTTTCCAAGATGTTGAATTAAGAATGTTTTTTACTGCTTTGTGGTTAATGAAAATACTTCTTAGAGCTAATTTCTGAGCATTGTCGACACAGTTCACATGCCTCCCTCTGGTGTGCCTCTTGCAGGGTTTGTGTCTGGTTTATGGAGCTCGGTGGTTTTGAATCAGTGGGCTGGGAACAGGAGAGGAATTACAGAATTAACAAAGAGACTACATTTAACAAAATGTACCCATTTAACATGATCAGATTTAACATCATCAGGTTTCTGGGTTATCTAGAAAAAATAATTTAGCCATAAATAATATGTGTTCTCTTACATTTTAATAGCTCGTATTATGATGTCACCTCTAATGTCTTCAAATTGTCGTTTAGACATAGGAAGGAAGAGAACAATGAACTCAGAATCTCTTATTTGTATACCCTTGGGGCCAGATGTATTTTGGAATTCAGAATTTTTTAGATTTTAAAAAAGTACAGTATGTGTGACATATATTAATGTAATACCCCTTACAGACTCTGGAGCATTTTTATGAAGCAAAATATATATAAATATTTACATTGAGTGGACCAATAAAGATTATAAATAGTATCACCCAGTCAGGTCTGGTTTTGTTACCAAAGTTTTATTCAAAAATTTGAATTTTGGAATTGAGGATAAGGAACTATAGTGCCAGCTGAATGAAAAACAGTCTTCATTATAAAGAAATTGTTTGCTCCTTTTATTTATTTTTTATATCACTCAACAAATCATTTGTTAGAAATTTTTCCCACAAAACTTACCCAAATAATAAAGAATTTGGGGTTCAGACGCCTAAGTCATTCATTGTATTCAGATTTAATCAATAGGAGATAGGCCACAAAGCCTTTCCTCTGTTTGAACTTTGCCTGCAGATTATTGTATTTTGGCTCTGTTTTCTTCTTACAGCTCTTCGGTCTTTCGGTACCTAAATTATCCATCAGTGTATTTGTTGGTAGTGCTTATTTTTTACAGAAATAGACAGTTGATCAGTTTCATTATTCTAGTTTGTTTTGTAAGGAGCTGCGTTGATGCTCTAAAGGGTAACTCTTTACTGATGTTTTGGAAAAACAAGTCATACTCTGCCGAGAGGGTCATATAAACTTGTGTGTGTGTGATCCGTCCTATCCAAAAGCCTTTTTTTCCTCAAGGTTTGGTCATTCTGAGGTCAGAAGACCAGCACTGATTTCTATACCATCTTCAGGGCCCATTAGAAGTAGCAGAGAATTGGAGAGTCTCTTGCATTTTTATCTCTAGGTGTGTAGTACGTTAGAAAAAGTCTAAATGATTGCTGTGTGTGATTTAGGTTGGCAGTGGAGGTGAATGTGTACTCACTAGTACCTGAGTTTCCAGATCATTTTACATAGTTCTAATATCTGGCAGATGTATTTATATTTTAGTCCTGATTTTTATAAAGCATAATTTCTAATTGCCCTTGGCTGGGTCATTTGAATACTCTGGAAGAAAACAAATACAGTTTATAGTCACAAATATATGTAAGTATTCCTCAGCTTTCAACCTAATACAGTATGCTTGGTTGTTCAGTGTTTGCAAATTTTAGAATATCTGTTTTGTTAGTGAAAGCACTGTATAAATTTTTGAAGGCTTATGTTTGTTTAAGAAACTATAACCAAAAGGTATTTCAAAAGAAATTAGACTGCTTAAGAACTTGCAGGCAACAAGCTTTAAATTTTAGAATTGCTCTTCAGAATAAGAATTACAAGTTTTCTAAACTAGAAGATTATAAACCAAAAGTTAGGGAAGCACACTTTATATTGGTAAAGCCCTGCCAAGCCTAGACAATACATTAAACTGTGTGATTTCTCCCTGAAGGTCAGTGTTGGCGCCTACATGGGCAGTGAAATGCTGCTCCCCAAATAGGGTCTTAAAAACTTCACTCTCTTGCACAGAATTCTCAGCTCCCCTCAAGCTAAAATTTTTGTGAGGAAAATAAGCCAGTTCTTCTCCATACCAAATGCTTTCTGTGGGTCATTTTGCTTGATTATGTTTTAAATTTGTTTGAGAGTCGGGAACCAGGATTACTAGACTCTCAGTGACTAGAAAAATGCACCACCACCCCCCCCCCCCACTTCCAGTCTGTGCTCAACGCACACACATACTCTCCTTGTTTTTAGAAATACAAACTTTGCTTCATTGGTTCTCCTTTCAGAGTCTTCTGTGCAACACGAGTTTTCCTAGTTATATAATGCACTTTTCTTGCCAGGCGTGTAAGTAGAAGCTTACTTTAGTTTGACTTGATATTTAGAGAGGAAGATGCCAATTGGGAAGAAGCCTGTCAGTTTGTCGAGCCTGCCCATGACAGGTGGGGTGCGGAGGAGCTTCTCTGGTGACGAAGAGTTGACTCCTCCTCCATATCGAACCCTTCCAGCACAGACAGCCCTGGAGGCCTTCCCACCTCCCAGCACTAGCCGAGAGTTCAGTCCCAGCCTCAAAACAGGTAATCAGTGACATCAGCACCTCAGGTACTATACAGGGTCAAGTCTGGGCAGGGTGGTGGGAGACAAAGCATGGTCTGGCATGACAGGTGCTGACTCATTAAGTTTTTCTTTACTTTCAACTAAAAATTTCATTTTCACTAAGATGAATCATCAGGGAGGGAAAGTTTTTTATTTTTGTTAACAAACCATTTTTGAACTTCAGATTAGGGGAAAGCTATAATTTTAGTTTATGGAATTATAAAAACAATTTGAACTAGTTTGTGATTTCATTAAAATAGTTGAACATTGGCATTGCAGAATTTTACGTGCCTCGCCCCAGGAGAGAAACGCCATTAGGGATCGATCTGATTAATCACATCCAAAGATGAGGCTTCGATCATAGCATTCCACAGCATCTCGATCATTAGAAAGGATGTGTTTTGTGTTTCAGTGTAATTTCATTCTGGTAGTAACATTTACCACAATCTTAAATTGGATGGCATGGACTTGGAAATACAGTACCTGTATGGTTTTGGTGTTAAATTTGAGTGAAATTACTTCCCTAATTTCACATTTATTTATGTACAGTGGTTAATTAAATTATATTTGAGTTTAATTGATGAGGGCAAGCTGGTAGATTGTACAGGAGACTACAAAAGGTTTTGTCCTTTGTAATTGCTAAGAATAAACATGTTATCATAGAATATCAGAAAGACTTCACTTGCATGTGATGAACTTCAGCAGATGTGAGGACATATCAGATGGAAAACCAAAGTTGTATCTGCATCCTAACGGTTGTTTTTAAACCATATCATTTTATTTAAAATGCCTTTTGTACATTGAACACCCAGGTGAGACTTAGTGCCAGTTTTCTTCTCATTTCTCTGTCTGCTTATTTATTTTGTTGGTTGGTTGGTTATATTTTTGCACCTCAAGATATCAGCCTTTTTATTTTTCTTGCCATTTTAAGATGCTTTTCAGCTTTCACCTCCCTAACAGTGTTAATAGGTCATCTTGAGCCTTCCTAGTTTGTTTTCTCTAATATCCTTATACCTTCTACATATATATGCATATATATTTTATATATGTGTGTGTGTACATATATATATATATATATATATATATATAAAATAAGGGCTGCAAATCCAAGTTTATCTGTTCTTTAATGGAAAAACCTTCAGTCTATCTAAAGAACATTACAGTTTTCTTGTTTGTCTTTAATTTTTTCTTTTTTGTACTTGTTACTTACGAAGTAGTCTTCTTCAACCTAAGTACTTACAGATATTGTGAGCTCTGGATATATTTGAGTTTGTATTGGATTTTCGATGTATTGTCTTCAAGCATTAGTCTGGTTTTGAAGACAAGAGTCCCACTTTGAGAGAGGTCACTGATCTGTGTGCAGTGGAGCTAGGACTGGCCCAGCCCGAGCACATAGAGCAGGTGACTAGGACAGGAACCCAAGGCTTCCGACCGTCGTTCTGCCAGTGTCTGTAGTGTCCCCTGAGCTGGGGGCTCCCGTGTGGCACTGGTTTGACGTCACTCGGGTGAAACTGTAAGGACTGCGATGCCTTAACCATGTCAGAGCTGCTGCTGGTAAGCTGTTGTGCTTATTGTGTTTATGGACTTCTTGCCAGGAAAATGCGATTTCCGTTCATCTCCTCAAATGTTAGTGATCAGAGTCAGTAAAGTGACTTCCTTTTAAAACGAGAGTTAAGAAAATGTGTTTGTGTAGAAAGTGAAATGTAGCCACAGGATCTATTTCAGTTATCCATCCTTCTTTGACAGTAAGACCTGGAAAGGAGAAGTGATTAGTGTGAAGAGACCAGACAAGCTTTCTTTTAGTTTCCATTGAAACAAAAACTGCATTAAAACACCCCACATCTGAGTGAATGTTTCACCTTTATCTTGAGTTACTTTTTTTTAAGCACATTGTTTCCATATGTTAACGTGAGTAAAAGCATAATCCAGAAATTTGTTGCTAACAGCAAATGCAAATAGTTTCAGGATGTGCTTTAGAATCTCAGCTTACCTTTCTTGCATTAAAAAAAAAAACAAACAAAAACATCTGTTTGAATGGCACATGTTTGGTCTTGAAGCACGATAATTCTTTTATCATTCATTTAGCCATCTTATCATCATTTAACAAGATATTGTTTTAATCAACCTTTTATTGTGGGTACTGCACCTTTAATGAAACTTGGGTTTGTTTGGTTTTTTTTTTCCTTTTTATGTGTTTATTTTCATGGTATTGTTTCGATGTCCTTAACAATTAACGTATGTTGGTTAGATTTGAAGGATAACTATTACGTACTTGATACTCTTCATAAAAGCATTTTTACAAACTAATTTTTTAAAGAAAGGAAGAACCACACAGCCCTGTTTGCTTTTACCTGATTGGTGCTTGTTTTGCTGCTGCTACAGGTGTAGAGTGTATTCACTTTCCTGTCTTTGGACTATTACGTTTATTAGCGTCATTACCAAAACAAGTAAAAAAGTAAAATAAAATGAATTGGTATCTCTGAAAAGACAGTTCTTTTAATTATTAAATAAAATGTCAAAGACCATTATTTTTGAAACTAATCTTTTGTAACTGAAATCAAGGCATGATAATTTTCTATGGCTGCACTGTCTGGCTTTGAAAAGTGTACCGTTTGAATATTCTATGTGGTGACACTATTGAGGTGCTGTTTTCTGAAAACTTAGTTGGCTTACTGCTCCTCTAATACTGAGTCCCAATTCTCCCCGTAAACTACCATTACTCTGTATAAGCAGTTCCCAACTTACGTTCCATGTATGTGCATCCCCTCATGCATGTAATAGAAAGATCCATAGTGGAGAGCACAGAATACCTTATCTCTGGAGCCCGTGCCTGCAGGAAGCGAGCAGCTTACGTCAGTCACACACTGAACTGCGTTGTGTGGGGGAGCACTGTGCTGCCAGAGCCGCAGCCGCAGCTTCGTAGTCGGCTGATAATAGCCAGTCGGCTCCCACTGCTTGTAGCCCCTCAGGACTGCTATTCTCGAGTTGTTGGGGTTTTATGTGAAAGCTCTTTGTTTCAGAATATTGGGTCAAATTTAAAAGAACCCTGGGGCACAGGTAAGACGGGGAAAGCACAGTGTGTTACCTCTGTTGCATAGATGTGAGAAGAAACTTAGCGCTGCTCACCATGGGATTGGGTTCCAGTGAGCATGTTAGCGTACAAGGTTGCCTGCTCTTTAAATTGTGTGAAACTTTACCAACTCAGTTTTGGTGAAGCATTAACTTTTTAAGAAACCTGAACACATCTCTTAGAGGTTTGTTGTTATTAAGACTTGTTTTCCACACCTAGCTGAGATTGTTTTTATTCAGCAATTGGGGAAATAATTTTTTGGAAGGGAGGAAATCTGTACAAAGTAGGGGGTAGATCTCAGAAAAAGGAATTAGGGCAGTCTGAAGTTACTGGATAATTGTGTCCAGGGACAGTGATTTAAGTTCAGAGGGATTTATAAAAACAGTTAGCAAAATCTCAGAATTAAACAGCCTAAATTTTTTACATAAGATCAGTGCTGGGCCCAGCAAAGAAAAAAATTTTTTTTGTCTTCCTCCTTGTCCATGCATTAGAAAGAGCCCCACCAGCATGGCTTGGGCTGCTGCTCAGAAATCTAAACCCCACTGAAAATATTAGAAACTGAAGATTAATTGTCCATAAAAAAAGACCAATTAGAACATGACATTTCTGTAAATTGAGGACTGCCTATACTGTTCGTTTGTGTTCATTAAAAACTGGGTCACCAGATAAGAACTCAGGTGATTTATATCTCTATTCTTCAAGGAGTCTTTTTAATAAAGGTATATTCCATGGAGTCAGTAAGATTATGTTAAAGTCATTTTTTGTGTGTTGTTACTTATTAAATATATTTCAGGACCATGCAACCTAATGCATCATTGTTTGTATAGACATTGACATAAAAGTGAATACTTACCCATAAGAAAATTTCTAATTTTTCTAGTCAAATTAGGGATCCTTATTATCTTGAATATCTTGTTGAAGGTGTCTGTCGTGCAGTGTCCAATATGCGCTGTTGTTCTGTATTGAAATTTTCCTTAAGTGTCAGTCCACTTTGAAAATTAAAATTAGTTCAGTGTTTCTACCGAAATGTCAAGCTAGTGGAATATGAAGATTAAAAGGAATCTGAATATTCCAGAAAGGCTTAATAACATCCTGTGCGTGTATCTCTTTCATGCAGTGACTACATTGCAGCTGAAGGAGGAGTTGATAGACGGAGAGGACTACAGCTTCCTCCAAGGAGCGTCTGATCAGGAAAGCAACGGCTCTGCCAACTTCTACATCAAACAAGAGCCCTGAGTGGCTCAGACACTGAGGGTGGGCGGGGAAGACTTTTACACGGGACTGCTTTGTAGTCAGTCCAGCTGTACAGCGGGGCTATTCTACTGGGACATTTTGCTAAACATAGAAAATTTCAGTTCCGGATTTTTCAGGCGGGTGGGGAAACTATTTTAGTCATGGGGGGAAATTTTTCAATTTATAAAGATGGACAATTTTTGTGTTGTATTTGAAGATTTTGAAAGAATTTTGTAATATTTTACACATTTGGATTTATGTGCATTGTTAACAAGAACTGAAATTCTAACTTTTTGGTAAGATTAAAAGTTTAGGTAGCAGGATTGAAGGAAATGATTTAAGAAGGATATAGTTGTAAAATGCAAGTGAACTGTCCACACAAATGAACCTTTTTGGTACCTGTCGGGAGATTTGGGGATTTCCGAAGTTAGGCCAGTCACATCTCCAGCTTCCTTTGCTGCAGAAATATGCAACTGAACCCCCTCCTGGAGGGCCGGTTCGGCACCACATAGATCACGGAAGGGGTAATCGGCTCTGCTTGTTGGCGTTTCATTGCAGCCCATTTTAAACATTTGTACAGAAGTGTTTTTCATTCTGTGAACATTTATTTGGAGTTCTATATGAAACTGGAAGAACTCTGGATACTTTTATATGTTCTTTAATTTAAAAATGATGAAAATTATCCTAACACTAAAGTGTTAACTGGAATGGTTGACCAGATAGATATACAGGATGTCAGTCTACATTTTGGGGGGTTGGGGAAAATGCAATATTATCCTAAGTTTCTTTCATTTTCCTTACTAAAAAGTATGCTACAGAAGGGAGTTTGATGAGTTCTCTGCCACCTCCCTCCATTTGTGAGATAGTACTTGGAATAACCACACCCCAAAACAGATGTTCTGTATCGGGAGAATCAAATTCTAAGTTGTTTAAAGCCAAAATAAGTTTAAGATTTCAAAATCATTCCAGCCATGCTTTTAACTATCCTGGATTTGTTAGAAATTAATTTGAAAGAGAATTTAATTTTCTTGAAATTCCATATATATATATATACAGTATGAATTGTCTTTATTTGTGTTCAGAATTAGTTTTAACAATAATTACTGATTTGGACCATTTTGAACATTCCCTGTTTTTAAAGTTCACGTGGCTTCCTTTCAGAAAAAAGGATCGAAGGGTAAATTGGTGAAAGGTTTGCTCTCTGCATGTTCTGACTTTCTGAGTTGTGACTGAATGAGAGAGCTCTAGCGTTTACCAGTGGGGTTCATAAACTAAACTCTCAGGAATTACTGCATCTGTTGTAGAAGTGCTTCTGGGTCTTAGCCTGGCCTCTTCAGAGTGGTAACACTGACCATCTCCTCTGGAATATAGGTAGGGCTAATTAGAAATTAATCAAAATGATTAAACTCTACAGTCCTTCAACCTATGGAATGCTTTAAAAATGTTAGTGGAAAGTCCCAGGAGACCATTTTAAGTAAGATTTTTGTTTGAATTTTAAAATTCATAGAACGTTAAAAACCAGCAATTTATTTTCTAAAATAATGCTCTACTTTTGGGAATAATAGCATTGGTAATACGCACAGGTTTACCTCATTCTATGCAAGAGGGGTTAATAACATAAGGTTTTGTAGTTGCTACTGGAAGTAAAATTTGTTACTTTATAGTGTAAGAATTTATGGAATCGCATGTCGACATTTCTTAATACTGATTCTTTAGGGGCATAAATGTATATCATATCAATGCCAAGTTGATTCTCATGTGTCAAATATATGTGAATTCAGCTTTTAAATTACTGGATATTTATCTTAAACATTACCGAGAGGGACCTACTGTAAATGTGACATCCTCACACTTTCCAAATCTTTAACTTGTAAGGATCTTCCCATAAACTTAAAGCCTAGAAGACTTCCAAAGCAAGAGTTACAACCATCTTTATTCTCAGACTCAGTGAATTCAGTCCAGGACTCTGACTGCACGATGTGTGCACAAGAAGCCAGTTGTATGGCGTGCTCTGCCAGTACCTTGGGCTTAAGGGCTCTGCAGGGAACTGAATAAGTCAGGAGAGATTTGATTTGGAGCCTGGTAATTAGATCTGTGAAATGCTCATTTGTTCATAAGCTTCCAGTTCTAGAGCGAAACCAGGCTCTGGGAGTTTCTGAATTTCCCCCCTGCTCATGGTGTTTCTCCTCTTGATCCCATGGCCAACAGTTAAAGGTTGGTAAGGACTTCCTACAGTGTAAACACATCTGCAGCCCTCTTCGTTGTGCAGACTTGACTCCTCCTGCCGACGACCGGAGATGAGTTCACGCGGAGGAGGTTCATGAATTAGCCATAACTCCAATAGTACAGCTCAATAGCCCCGTTCTCTTTTACGGTTCAAGATGTACTGCTGACCTTGGGTTTGTTTTTGTTTTTGTTTTTTCCTGGTAGGATTATTTGGGGCTTTTGGTAGTTTAAACTCTTTAACCTTTTTTTGCTGTGTATGAGGAAAGCTAAAGCTGTTATCAACTTCTTATTCTACGGATACTAACACGGGTTTTCAGTGTTTGTTTGTTTTTATTATTATTAATTTTGCGTGATGTGAATACCCTCTCCCATCAATATTTGTATTATGGTGCTATATATTTGGTAATGATCCTTTACTATTTGGGAAGGGATTTTAAAAATACTGTGATTAAACTGGGTTTCTTCCTTTGATTTTCATATTTTAAATATAAAGCCACAGTCATTTATACGAAAGAAAAGCATCTGTCCCTGGGCAAATCTTTTGAGGACAGAGGTCAAAATAAACTGCATAAGGTTTTTACATCATTTCTGTATGTATTTGATATATAGACCAATATCTGTACAAATTTAATCTTTTATTTTCTTGGTAACTTGTGATCATTGAGAAAGTATTTGAAACTTTCTCAGGAAGTGTATATAATGGCGTGAAAAATTCTTTGGAGAAATTTATGTTCCTTTCATTTTTACCAAATTGCAAATTTTCAGCATGGATGTAAAAGCATTAAAATTATAACTTTGTGTACAAGATGAAAATAATTCACTAAATTTGCCCTTTTTTACACAAAATAAAATATTAAAGTTAAGTTGTGTTTGAGCAATTTTTTAATACACTTTTGTTTTTGAGAGGTTTCCTTTTTTATTAAAAATATCAAATGCCTTCTAAAAGCAGTCAGAGGCCCCTGTGAAAGTCAAATCAGCTTCTTCCTCACGGAGCCCACAGTCTAACAAGGTAAAAGCGAGGTCATGAGTGAGAATTTACTTGCTGACAAGGAAGAGAATATGGGCGGGTACGTGGACAAGGTCGCATTGAAGATGGGGTTTCACGGACAAAGAAAGAAAGCCCAAAACACAACAGGAACAGAGGTTAAGTGTGGACCACTTAAGGGGGATCTGTTTTCATTTTTAATTTTTAACATCGTAAAACAATTGGTGGGTCTGGTTCATTTCCTCTCTTTCCCTGCCAAACCTGGGGGCAGGAACTGCTTTGCTTTCTCCACCTTTGCTTTACCTGTGATTACCAAGATACAGAGCTGTCTGCTGCTGCATCAGACTTTAAACTTCACATTGTCCTTATTACCTTTCTAGATCTTGACAGACCTGGCATCCTTTCATCTGTGTGTGCACTGGAAGGCCTTGATGTCCTCAAGTTTGTGAGGCGTGGCTACCAAGCGGTGAGAGCTCCTTCCTTGCATTATCACTCCACTTCCCCAGGTACTTACTGCCCAAGAGGCCAAGGGGGGGTTTACATCACCTTAACTAAAACAACGTGTTTCAGGTGGCTTGCTTGCTAGGGGACTTTTGTTTGTTTGTTTGTTTTTTCTTCCAAGCTCTGTTCATCTCTCAAGCAAAGTTCCCAGAATGTAAATAAATTGTCCCAGCCAGCTGGTGCTGGTTACATTAAGGAAGAATACCAAGACTCCTCCTCTACCAATGACTGATTCTTTGGAAAATTAAACTTCTGCAGAAGCAGTTTGTAGAGAATTTTATGATTGTGAGATGATAAGGAGATGAATTGGGTCTCGTCAGGGGTTGATTCCATCGTATTTGAGGGGGAAAAAATAGAATGCATTCCAAGAAAAACAGGTGCAGACCCTAATTCCGGCCCTGTCACCCACTGTGACCGGCTTGAACCGCTGCCCTGGTGAGCTGGGACTCCCAGGATGGCTCTCATTCCTGACCCACAAGCTTTGATGCATATACTTTTTTAAGTTTTGATCTATGGTTTTTTCTTTAAACCATTACATGCCTCTTACGGAACTGTTTTCCTAACGTACTTTATGCCCAGAATTTTAAGAGCAACAAGTGTTCCCCCAAACAAGTAACTTTTTAGCACTCTGCTGTTTACCCAGCCTCCTGAGACTGGGGGAACAGTGAAACTATTCCTTTCGTACAGACCGTTAGGGTAGCCCTGCTGACCAGTTAGTGCCAAGCCTCAAGCAGGCCAACCCGGGGCTTGCCTTCTGCCAACAAACAGGTAATTGTGTAAACGAGGAATGTATTTTAAATACCGGAGTTGGCGAAAGTAGGCTTACTGTTGTGAACACATGAAACAGTTTATTCTTGTTTTATTCATTATTATTTTCCATATGAAAAACTGGAAACCTGATTTTGCCCACTTACCATCCATGTACTGTGTAAAACAAAAGCTTTACTGAAAGCACAAATGGTTCTGCGTGAGTTCTCCACTTCACACGCCTAGCTGGTACGTGAAATGAGGTCCAAAACCCAGTCTCCCTCCAGAAGCGTACTTTATTTTTCAATTACGGTTTCAATACATTAATACATTCAGTATTCTGTATTAGCGTCAGGTGTGCAGTATTCCGGTTAGACAAGTGTATCCATGACGAAGCGGTCTGCCCAATGTACCCAGCACCTGGCACCACACATGCTATCACAGCATTGACTCTGCCTCCTCACAGGCAGTACTTGCAGTCTCACCGTACTCGACTTTCTTCCACTTCTCCCAAATTAAGTCCTAACATCCGTCCTTCCTCTTGGCTCCCACCACTCCAGATTTGAGTTTAACCCTGAGAACTCAGGACTTGGGCATGTAACTTGGGTAACTCTATAAAGGCAGTCAAGCACAGTAGCCAAAAGCATGGAGTCTGAAGCCAGCTGCTCGGATTGGAGACTGACACCTTCACTTGTTTCTGTTCCCTCAAGTGTTGGGAGCTGCCCTGCCTGGTTTCAGAATCTGTAACCCCCCACGGCTAAGGCTGAGTAAGGAGACCTTAGGACCATAGGGCACTGAGGAGACAAAGCTTAGCTTCCTGGTAGGGACACTGCCTCTGCCTCTTTCACCTCACCCTGCTTGGCCCCGGGTAGATGACTGGTTAGCCAATGACAGGTAAGATCCTCAAGGGAGGGATGACCTAAGACAGGCACAGTCAAAAAGGGGCCCTCAGGGAAGGACTTAGGAGGCTATAGAAAAAGGGAGTGATGGACCCTCGCCCCTTGGGTTTGACATAGCCTGAGTCCTCATTCTGTCTACAAGAAGTCTCCTAATCTCTTGGCCACCTCACTTCCCCTGCTGACTTAAGCCTGAAACAATGCCGAATGTGGGTGCAGCACTGTGCTGGAAAGGGTGGGTTGGTTCCCCCAGGGCAATCAGGCCTAAGAAAGAATGCATAAAATCCTGGGAAACCGGCTTTGCCAATACCCTTAATGTAGATGATAAGGGTCCAAGCGTAGAATGAGTTTATTTCCCAAAGTTTTATGACCCTTCAGCTAACTGACCCTGACTCAGAATAAGCCCTCACAGTTCTTTGAATATTATCTATTGTTTGATCATTACTGCCTGACAGTGATTGATGAACTTTACCTGTATTCCTGTACAAGTTGAGCCCAGTGAAAGCCCATTGAAGAACAGGCTCCTGGCCCTTCCTGGAGAGATTGGCCACCTTTCCTCCCCAAGCAGATCATGTCTTGGTTGGTAGACTTATTTTCATCCCTGGCAGACAGGGCCGGGGTGGGTGAGGGTCACAGGGGAGCACATACTAGAATGCAGATCCTCAGGCTGGCCCCAGAATCTGGAATTTTAGTCATCAAACTGTACTGTTAAATTGTTGTGAAAGCATATACCATGAACATGAGATCAAAAATTTTTGTAAGGTTTTATTTAGTCTATTTTAATTGTCCCAGTTGTTTGCCCCCCTCCACTCAGCCCACCCCTCACTCCCTCAGTCCCCACTCCATTGTCTGTCCATGGGTCATTCATACATGTTCTTTAATCCCTTCCCCTTCCTTTTTAAGATTTTATTTTTAGAAAGAGGGGAAGGGAAGAAGAAAGGGAGATAAACACTGATCAGTTGGTTGCCTCTCATGCTCCCCCAGCTGGGGACCTGGCCCACAACCCAGATGTATGCCCTAACCTGGAGTCCAACCTGTGACCTTCCAGTTCACAGGACACTGCCCAGCACACTAAGCCAGGCCAAGTTGGCTAAATTTTAAATTGAAAAATAATTTAGAAAACGTTAAACCTAATTGACTTGAGATTATATCAAGCTCAGTGTACTTGTCAGTCGTGTGTAGCAGTATGCATTAAAAATCTAATACTGAAATAAAAACAAAAATAAATGTCTTTCACATGGAAGTAACATTTAGCTTACACCTGTTTCCTAACAGATAATAGGTATTCATAGACACCCACCTCTTTCATTCATCTCCAGTTTTTAAGCCAAACTCCCAGTGATCGGTGCCAACCCAGCAAAATGCACCTTAAAAGCAGAGAAGGTAAGCTTTGTAACCACTCACTGCTCTGGCCCAGGAAACGGGCAGGACAAGCATTTTCCCCCAGAGAGAAAGCAGGAGGGCTGTGCAGCATACTCGTGTGCCAGCAGTAGGCCGGGCACTAGGTTACCTCCCTTACATCCATTATTTAAGCCTGCGTTGCAGTGATCTCATTTTACAGATGTCTTTAGGCCTCTGTTTCCTCAGACATAACTTGCCCATTTGCAGTCAGCAGAAATGCACATCTGGATGACAGTATGTTTCACTATCAAGTTTAAATAAATGACTTATACAGTAATAAGTACACATTTCTACATCAGCTAAAGAGGTTGGGGTATTAGGTTGCTTCCTTAGATAAGAGTCCTCAGCGTGGTCCTCACCAACCTTGCTACTTTCCCACCTAGAGTCTTGAGGTGTACAGAGGTGCTAAGGAGGATCAGATCATTCTTCCATAATAAGCAGGGCTAATTAGTTCTGGATAATGCTACTCTAGCCAGGGAACCAAGTCACTTCTTCCAGTGTACCAAGGAAGCACAGAAGGCTGCACTCACTTTCCAAAGGCTTTATTGGTAAGTATACTTTAGAAAACAAAGATCGATCCTATGGCTTCCAAGTCAGTGGAATGGATAGCTGTGTCCAGGGAAACACATCCAAGCGGAGCCCAAGGGGACTGACGCTTTGTCCACCCCTTTACTCATAGATCCAGTCAAAAGCACAAGGCTTGTAGTCAACCAGTTCGTCAGGCTTAAACCACAGGCTGATTTCTCTCTCGGCACTTTTTACTGAATCACTGCCGTGAATGATGTTCCTGAGAAAGAACAAATACTAGTTAGTTAACACGCTGCGAAGTGCAAATGTCTGTCTGACAGATAAAGCGAAGGACGACCACTGCAGACCTTTCAGCCAGGTTGTCACTGGAAGCATAAACCTTCCCCCCAAAGTATTTCCTCCTAACAGCAATCATAAAAGTACTTAGTTAAAAACATTCCTTGGTTCAACTTCATTCATTATGCTTCCAGGTTTCCCCAAACCCTTCAAAATATTACTTGTACCCCAAGAATGCTGTATCACAAAACATTCCTTCAATTTTGAAAAATACAGGGAGAGTCAAACCCACCCAGACCAAAACCTGAACTTGACATGATGTATTCATTATCAAGGGCATTTTCAGCTGAATTTTCTTAACACTAATTTACAAGGCCCAACCGCGACATTCACGCTCATTTGACAATCCCTTTATTCCACTGGAATCTCTTAATTGTAAAGTTTTTTGTACAGATTTTTGCATAGGTGAGGGGCCACAAGGTTAAGTGACAGACCCACGGACGTAGTGCCACAAATAGCAAAGCCGAGG